CCGCCTAGCGAGAGACGGTTTTTGGGAAAATGCTCTAGTAAGAAAAAAAAATTGGAAGACAAAAAAAGATACTTGCATTCATCGGACGGAATAGTCCGGTAGTAAAATCCCTGAGTCCGGGTGTTTTTAAAGGTCTTCTCAGCTTGTTCTATAGTGCCTGAAGGAAGCATACCTAGAACCAAACCAACTAAGCTTAAAGAACAAACCTGACATAAAAGATATTTTTATTTCTATAGCTAGGGTAACGGCTATTTCATTATTTTTACAATGGAAAAAAACCGGTAATAACTGGGTCTCGATAAAATAACAAATACATCAGTCTGATTTGGAAGAAGGTATCCCAAAACACACAGGGTCTGTAAGCAGTCTGTCATGCACATTTCAGTAATCCTCGTATTGCCTTATGTGACGACACAACAGAGCTAATCGTTGATTTCAGAATGCGTTACTCCATTTATGGAATCGTTACTGGGAATTATCGAAGTTACTTGTTTATTCATTAAATCAACATCCGTAGCGAGACTCAATGTGTGAGTTTGATACAATAGAACCAATAGGAAATATCAGGAATGATCAAGTCATAGCCTTAGTAATAATTTAGGAAGAGTTACTAGCAGTTAGTAGGTTTAATTGGTTAGCAGGTAGATTAGTTAATTAGCTACGGATAGAGGCAGATTTGGGAGCTGTGAAATGTTAATCCAAGCTTGAAATCATTGCAGGATTTGCACTTATCTAATAGTGTTGTTAGTCGTTTTGGCGCTTACCTTATAGCGTTACTAGCCGTTAATCCAGAAGGCGATCAAAAGTACTAGTCAAAACAGGTGGAAGTGTTTCTCGCGAAAAGCAAAAGTGAGAGAGATGGTAAACAAACCAAGATCGTCAATTTTAATCATAATGAAATTAGAGTAAAATACTACGTCGTCACACAGGCTTATGATGCCTTGGCAAATGGGAATACAATGTCATTTTTGTTTAGCATTGTATCCTATTTAAATTAATGATTTAAAATATTTTCTTATTACAACATTAATTAGAATGAATCACATAGCTTTCTCTCACTGAAAAAGTCGTATCTGTACACTGTAAAAGAATACATCTTTCACATGTGAATATGTGACGACGAAAATAAAGATGAAAATAATCAGATTTCTCCTCGAAAATCTTCGGTAGTCTTCTTCCATCTTAAGCAGTTTTGATCTTCGGAAATCTTCGATAGTCTTTGCAGATCTCTTGAAATAATCGGGAATTGTCGAAAAGTGGCCGAAACTACTTGATACACTAAACAAAATATTATTGACCTTTTTGGAGCCGATTTTGTTCTTTACGGAAAAGTTTATTGATACAGTAAATGTTTTACTGTTAGTATTACAATGCCTAAAAACTGTAAAAGCGACTAATGGTTTGACATCGGAACGCACAGAAAGAAAAATGAATGGGAAATACATTTTCCAGTAGATGGAATTTAGCTAGACTGAGGAAAAAAGTAGAAACAAGGCGCTGTAGTCATATTCATATCCCGAAAGTGAACCTAAAGGTAGCAAAGGGATCGTTTTATTTTACAGGTGCGACGGAATTCAACAGCCTTCTTACTTTTATCAACTCAAACAAATCCTTTCCGCTGATTTCTCAAGGGAAACTAAAGATCTTGTCCTTAATAAGTTAATAAGTTTTGTCTGTTTTATGTATATATATATTTTTATATATATCGGTCTTGCACAATTTTCTTAGTTTTTAATCTTTTAGATTTTTTGTATTCCCCTTATGCATTTTAATAACAGGACCCCCTTTGATAACAGTAGGGACCTTACGATCCGATAACGGCGACGTCTATGAAAACATCGCTGAAAAATAGACACTTTTTTCGCGATTATTCCGAGGGGCCCAGTAACTTAAAAGAAGGGAATTTGGGTTGGAACTGAAAAGAAGAGACCGCGCCCGAGTTCTGACAAAGATGGCAGAATTTATTGCCTTGCTGTTCCCGTTCCCAAGTAAACTTAAAATTTGGTCATTTCACGTCGTAGTTATGCAGAGACTGCAAAGAAATGTACAAAAAAGGGTAATACACGTTTAGAGTTGTTGTTTTGCAAACTAAACCTATTAGTTTTTTAACGTTCCAGTTGCCATCGCAGTCTTGTAGTTTCGTAAGGTTAACGTTCCTAGTGTCTATTCCCTGACGGGATTATCTTGTATAAATAGTATTATTATTACTATCATAAATGAAAAGCGTGATCCAATCGTTACCTCTGCATACGTGTAGGCTAACTATAGCTGCAATCGTACCGGACAGAAGCGATAAAACCTTCGTTTTCATGTTGACATCAACGACAATGAAACCTTAGAAATGTGTTACTTTCTTTAAACACAAGTTCAAAACAAGAGTGGAATTCAATGCATAATTAACCTTGCCACCCGAAACAATCTAAACAGAACTTAACCAAATAAGCTTATTAATTAAGGCACCGATTTACTCACCCCTACCATTTTTCTGGCACCAAGAAAACTTAACTTTCGAGAACAAATCCTAATAGATAAGCGCCAAAGCGACCACTAAAACTACAAGATAAACGCAATACCTTCAGTTGTTATAGTCTCAAGTATGGCTTAGCTTTTCAAATTTTTGATCTTAGTTTGTGCATCTCTTTTACCTTTACCTTCTGATAGAACCCGGGGGGTACTCCTGAGAATTCTTGGTGGGGGTGTGCCGCCCGGTTCTCCAACTCCTGGCCCTGTTTCAGACCAAACAATGTCATTTTCCACACCCGTTTTCAGACCTGGCATCTAAAATCCAGACCAGTTTTTAGACCTGGGGTTTGTCACAAAACGTAGCATATATTTTTACGTAGACAGAAATTATGTCTGATCATTACCGAGATTAGAACGCCAACGAAAAGATTTCTTAAAATCCATTTCGAATTCGGATATTACTCTTTCTTTCTTACTTATTTGGAATTGAAACGACGAATACTATGATGCACTAGTAGTTGTAGTTTCCTCGAAAACCATACCCGATTCCAGACCAAAACTGGCGAAGTCTATACCCGTTTAGACTACGAGTTGGTGCTCCGCAAAACCCTGCTGAGAATGTATAGTCCCCCATTTTTCCTCACGGATAGTAGAGCGAGCCAAACACCCCACGCGAGAAAAGGCGACAGGCCGCGTGTCGCCTTTTCTCACGTGGGGTGATTTTCACGCGTGCTCGCGTTTCGCTCGCTCTACTATCCCTAAGGAAAAATGGGGGACTACTCGTAGTCTAATACCCGTTTTCAGACCGAAACAGCTCAAAAAACATTACCCTTCGGGGTTGCCTGTGTCGTAGACACTCTAAATCTTCTGGTTTTGACGAGTGCGTGGGCCGGCTGCAACGCAGGTTATTTGGGCCGGCACGTACCTACCTTGTTGTTTAGTTAAAGCAGAAACCCATAAGGGGTTGTTCAACCCCTTATGAGTTTCTGGTTAAAGTTAATTGTAAGTTAGTTCTTAGGTAGAGTAGCGAGGTTGAGTTCATTTGAGAGGAGAAAAAAATTGTCTTATCACTGTGCCAAGATTACAGTTCAGTACTGGAGGTAGCTCTCTTAGGCTAGCCCGCTTATTCCTCTGTGAAGCTACATGGAACCTCTCCTTTGAGACACCTTCATTCAGGGGACAAAAAAGTTGGTCCCGGAAAAATGTTGGCATAATGTTTGTTTCTGTTACCTCCATTGAAGGGACACCTATATTCAGGAGAAAGTGTTGGACGATATTTTGAATCTAGTTAACATTTTAAAATATCATTTTACGCTTATGAAAATGATATCAAGCTTATCCATTTACGTTGGTTCACTTGGTGTTGGGAACATATATTTATTAATAAATTATTCGTACTTGAGACGGTTACGGTTTCATCTGGGGATCAGAGATTATTGAGCTGTCTTGCTATATTTATTATAATTCAATTTGAGCTACTTTGCTATATTTGTCGTAATTCAATAAGAGAAATACGGCTATAAATTAATTTTATTATCTTGTAACGTTTAGAATGTTTGGACATGATTGTCTTGTAAACGGGTTATCATGGCAGTTTCGGCTTTGCATGGGAACACTGTCCGTCTTCCTAATCCAAGTTAAGATTGGTTTAATCTGGACATGTTTTGTGTCGCATTGACAATCGGGTTGCCAGTATATTAGCCTGCGAACAGCAGACGCATTTTCGGTCGTCGCTTCTCTCCCTCCGGAAATGCGTCTGCTGTTCGCAGGCTACCAGTACATCCCTGGAATAAGGAATAATGCTGTCACTCTTAGCATACGATATCACAGATTTACCTTCATGTTTCAGATTTCTTGGTTAGGCAGTTGAAGTGTTCTAAAGTGAAGCCGTAATAATCTAAAATATATCCCTCGTACAATTATACTCTAAGTTTGAGGAAAACAATGAGCGATAGTCTGTTAAACCTATCTTCCGTCATGCCTCAACACCACCTGCCGTTCGTTTTCGCGGAAACATTATAGACCTGCTGTTTTGGCTATCTAGGCGTCGTTTCTTGGTAACCAAATGCATCCCGAGGGTGTTCTTTAAATAGAGGTTCCACTGTATTTTGGTACAATCGTCAATTTGATCTAACTGCAGAAAGATGCAGTGAGTAGTTATAAGAGTGGCGGATTCAGATCTTTAAGTTATGAGCAGAGTGCGTCAATTAGTGTTATTAAGAAAGATTAGAAGTGTAGTATCGCAACATGTTAGAATGTGGAAGGGGGGTGGGAAAGATGGGCTATGTGATGTGTGAAGACGTGGAGGTGGGGGGAGGGGGGGGGGGGGGTGGGGGCGGGCGGGGGGTGGTTTTCATCCAGCCCCTAAGAAAAAAAAGGAAATGAGAGGGCGGGCCTTAAAAATAATGTATATTGTGCCAAGTGGGGAGGGGGTGGGGGTAATAATTTTTCTTTGCCTTCCCTAGGTGTTGGGACTAAGCGTCCCCGTTCAAGCTGACATCAACACGTCATGAACTTGATAAATTTATTATTTCCGACGTTATTATACTTTAGAAGCACATCACTAGTTTCTTTATTTCCATGAGTCAGCGTGAGTGAGAAACTGTCCATAACACACGCTAATTCCTTTTAACTTGTGACTTGACCCTCTGTGTTCTGCTATTCCTCTTGAGCCTGATTCTCAAATTATACGCTTTATTTGCGAAGACTATTCCCCGCTTCAAGTTTTCGAAGTAGAAAATTTCTGATTTCCGTCAGCCTTGCACTGTGTTGTATGCCCTCTGAAACTTGTCTGTGTTGAAGGCGCGATAAGAAGCATCTCTTAATCCAGAATTGATTCATTTTCCTGTCTCAACGCGTTAGCCAAGTCCTCTAAGAGTCTGGAGGCGAGGAGATCAAGCGAGAACCTGGAAGCTGATTTCGGACAAATGCCGTCATATGAAGTGGACCAGTGATGTCTGCGATTGTAGCGCCAGTAATGTTGGCGCCTCTGAGGTTTGCATCTTGGAGATCACACCCAGTTAAGTTACAGTTCTGGGACCAAAACAACGAACAAAAAACAACAGATACATTTTACTTTGCTTTTCAAAGTGCGACATGCTTTTAGTATAAAGACTACTGCTACGTTTGCGCCAATAAAATATGTTGAATTAGCCCAGGTTTACCAAAATGAAGTCAGAAACTGAAAGCCGAAATTTCATACACGGCATAAAAGGAAATAACTTACAACTAGATATGAAAACAATGAATTAATCCCATTTTGGAATGAGGTCTACAGCTACAAAGAAACAACTTTGTTAGAATTGCGTTGCTTGCAATAGGTTACGTGGTTCGATCTCTGTCTCTCACATTATCATGTCTTATCAAATAATACTCCGCACTTAACCAGACCAGAGGTAGGTTGCGATCTCAGGAAAAAAAAACCAAAAAGACGGCCATGAAAAAGATAATACACATTTTTATAGTTTAACGCAAAGTTTGCAAGGAACAATTTGTAACTGCTCCTTCTATAGATTCGGTCCTGTCACAAAAGCAAGTTGACCCCGGTCTACTCCCTAGGCTTTCTCTCTTGACCCGTTGTCCGCGCAAAGTCTGGGAAAGAGCGACGCGGGCGAGAGAAGTTCTTGGCTAGTCTCTGTCGGTGACGTCACAGCTCACGGTAGAGTCCAGGATGGACCGAGCCGAGGACGCCTAGGGACTAGGCTGAGGTGTCCCAAGAGGTACACAGAAAAGAGAATGCAACAGTAAATCTTACTTCTAAATCAGCGCCTGCTAACTCCGCTCCTCGTAAGTTGCAGTTTTGTAGATTAGCGCCCTTGAGAGTGGCGACACGAAGATTGACATTTCCTAACTGACTTCCTTCCAAATCTGAACCTTTTAAGTTTACACCTAAAAAAAACAAGTCATAATGAATGGTAGCTGGATTTAGACATAGTTACAGCTAATGTGAACACTAACTTTACACGTAAAAATAAACGGTGGTGCATTTCACAAGAAAAGGAGACAATGCGCTCAAGTTCACATTATATGGGGGCCGGAGGTTATCTTAGAAACAGAGCACTCTCTTACCTTCAAGATGAGCTCTGGTACCAGCAGGGTCTTCAAAGTTACACCCTCTAAGAGAGGCCCCTTCCATATGGGCCCTCTGGAGACGAGTACAGCTTAAAATAGCACCCTAGAGTGCAAATAAAAAAATGACAGAGTAGGGCTATTGATATTTAAATTTAAATGGGAAATCATGGTTAGCCAGTCCAAAAAGCAGTTCAACGCATTTAATGTACTTTACTTGGACATTAGCCGGAAGGTCACTCTTAACAGAATAGTATTCACAAAATGACCGATAACGGCTCTAGAGTAGTAGCTCAGTTTTCTTGACGATTGTAGCGCGGGGAGCATGCTACAAACCAGAGAATGAGGTAAACGGGGGTGTTGGCGGGAAGAGAAGGGTCGACAGATGGGCCCCTTGCCTCCCGCCTTTCCTAGTTTCCAAATTTATCGCGCTTACTGCATCTCGTTCATTTCGTCAATGTTGGCAAATTTTTCTGGGGTTGAATTCTAAGAGACTGTGTCAAAGTCCAGGAAAAGAAAATGACAGTCGTGGTCTTACGTTCACGACCTCCAACAAAAGTGAATTTAGGCATTATCACATCGTTGTCGTGCAGTGACAGCAAAGAAATGTACAAAAAAGCGTGATGCACGGGAAAAGTTGTTGTTTTGCAATCTATAAACCTATAGCTTTTTTCCCGTTCTCGTTGCCGTCGCTGTCGTGGTTACTTAAGCTCCCTAATGCCTCGACTCGTCAGACTGAAAAATGTGTGCTCGCAGTCTAACTACAGCTGGCCACTGTAAGAAAATGGAAAGCGTTCTTCTTTTACGTTTCTGTGTACGAGTGTATTCACTTTGTAGGAATAAACTTACATCCATGTGAGCTCCGGAAAGATTCGCTCGTTCCAAGCAACAGTTTGACAGGTTAGCGTTTGCAAGGTCCGTCTTTTTCAAGTTCGCCATTTTGAAGTTAATAAAACGTAGATCGAGCTTGGAAAGATCAGCGGAGTCAAGATTTATCCCCTGTGGAGTATAACAAATTCACACTACAAATCAATAAATGTACAGTATTATGTAAACTTCACGTGAAATTTTAATGCTAAAAAGCTAAGTTAGTGAGTTGAAGCTAACTGGAAGGAAAATGAAGAAAAAGGTAGCTTCGTTCCCAGTCGTCCTTGGCGATTTCGGATGTGAAGCTACCTGTCAAACTTGTCGGGAAAATTCGCCGAGGATTCGCGCTAGGTTCCAAGCCGCCTCTGGTAACCCGGATAGCGCGAACTGGCCTGGGTACGAGGCTGAGAAGAAAAAAAATCATAACAGACCCAGACAATGCAACGAACCAATCAGAACACGAACAAAATACTTGCAGCCGGTGCAAAGCGCGGTAAAAGGCCCATAAGCAAATTAACATTAATTGGAATAGATACAAATACAAATAAATATAAATAAATATAAATACTAAAATACCGTGTTATATTTTGCGTACAACGCAGCGCAGTGACATTGAACATGCACTTTGCGTCCTGAAAGGTTTGGAATACTTTAATACCTGGCAACGAAGCTCACAGTTCGATGGCGTCGACAACAAAATTTTCACGAACTCACTCCTTGACAGAGGCGCATCATCTGACTTATCCATGGCCTAAAAAGCAACAGATTAAATAGCTTTTATAGGCCCTGACAGCATTGCGGATAGTTTTCACTTAATATGAACTCCAATACTGCAAAACTATTTTCTTGTTTCTTTTTTAATACGAAAAAACCTCTCTGCTTTTTTAGCTCTGTTGGCCATCTCATCTCCCATGTCTACCTGATAATATATTATTTGGGTGAAAAGTTAAGCCAATAACAATAATACGTTCTTCGACTTCGAGCTCGTAAGACCAGTTCATTTTCACCATTAATTTACAGAATCATACTAAGATTGCATGCCCTCAGGCTTAACGAAAAAGAAAAAGACAACGAAGGAGACAATAAGACAAAGTTTATTTAGGTTGCGTCCAGACGTTTAAACACCACACCGATTGCTCCAGAATATGTAGCGGGCCATAAAGTTCACGAGAAAACATAGTCATACCTTCGCCATTTCTTCCAGCTGTTCCAATATGCCTGAAATTCCAAAGAACTTGGCCTCTTCTAAGACACCTACCATTATTACAAGCTTCTCTTAGTTCATAAACATTCAACTACACCGTATTTGCGGTTTAATAGCCCACCTTCGATATTGTTAAAAAATTCCAACATGACTCCGAGACTTTCTGGTCATATTTCTATATCTAGTTCGGTTTTCTTTGTGTTCAAGTCTCTTCTGGAAATTGCGAGACAATGGAGTCATGAAAATTTTGCAATTTTGACCCTAAAGCCTCCTTAATTTTTATCTTAGATTCTAGTTTAGTTAGGTAGTTAGTTTTCTATACTTAAATGTAAATGTACCTGAAAAAAATACCCGGTATAAATAAAGTTACGGTACGTACCGTACCAATCATGTTAGAATTTTAATATATCGAATATGGGCTATTACCCCGTAAACATCAGAAACATAATAATTACATATGACTATCTCGAATGCGCATTTAGAATGAATAGAGCAATACTAGAGTAGTATAGCAAGGAAGAACCAAGCCTTTTTTGGAAAGGCAAGTACCTTAACAGGAAGAGTAAATAAATTTGCCACGCCAAGGGCAACCAGAAATGTATTAAAGGGTTTCTTTGCTGAGGCGACAAATTTAGACATTTTTTACTGAAAACTTACAGCAACTACAGACTGTAGAACCCTTAAGATCGTGTCAGCCTAGAGAAAATCTCGCCCACAAAATCGCTAAGAGAAAAGCATAAAGTTGCAGTACATCAATATAACAATTTTTAAACAGTTAAGAATTTTAATATCATTAATTTCTGAGTCCTTAATTATGTTATATTAGGGAGCTTAAGCAACGACGTTTTTGAGCGACGCACGTCAACCGGAAGTTGCCCTTTTTCATTTTTGGGCGATGGTTTTGCCCAAATTTTCAGTCAAATCATCTCTATAAGAGTAAAGAAACTAAGCAATACAAATTACATAGCGTCAAAGCATATTACAAGGGAAAAGTCCTCACTTTCGGTTGACGTCCGTTGCTCAAAAACGTCTTTGCTTAAGCTCCCTAATATGTGCATGTGGTTACCTTGGGGATTGGCTCCATTATCCAGTATAAGCTGTCCATGTCTGAGATAATTCAAAATTGGTTCAAAGTACACTGGGCTTCTATCAAATAGAAAAGCTCCTGTAGAATCAGTGATACTGCTCCACGATTCTGTGTGGATAATGAAAATGACAACTCCAGAGGTTTTTCAAGAACTTTTGAAGTACGCAGTGGAAGGTATCGTTATAACTATCAGGCAGGCGTGGATCCACACCAGTTTCCACCGTTTTACAGAAATTGTTCACATTTTGAATAACAGATATATTTTTGATGATTAAATAATTAACTTTCCAAGTTGCAAGGTTTCATCCAAGCTGAATGGAACTGGCCAATATCCTGTCTTAATGACTTGGAAACCCAAGAAAAGGGCACCTCAGGAAGTCAAAATCTAAAGAAGCTTGCACCTCAGGAAATCGGTCAGCATTTATCCTAGATCCGCGCCTGATCAGGTGCCGGATTTATGACAGTTTAAAGGGGCTATGTCAGACTATTTGTTGTCTTAAGTTTATCTAAAAAGTGTCTTGCTATGAAAGTGAGTTCCAAAAATAGTGGTCCACTTATGTTACTTGAGGCTATATTTTGGCATTTAAATTTCTTCCCGTTGTCTGTTGCTATGGATGCATGGAAAGGATGGAAACGGATTGAAACCCCTAATGCCATGCCTACAACAATTGCCAAAAAATATCATGGATATTGCTTTGTTATGAAATTTGTTAAACTCTACAAAAGCATTTGGTGTGTGGTTAAAAGCACTACGTCTGTGGGGACTTTGATTCAGAATTGACCTAAAACATCAATACCCTTGTGACAATTAGTCCCGGGCTTTAATGATATCCTTAAATTAATGTTAAACCAAATAATGATAAGCTATTATTAGGAAACACTGTAATATTGAGGATAAATTTGAACTAAATCCAAAATCTTGGGAATCAAACAACAGCTGACAACAGCTGACAGTTGACTTCAGACTGTAAAATTCTGTCAGAGAGTGGTCAACCACCGTACAAACTTTGCCAGATTATGATAACATGGATGTTATTTACTGACCTGCTGGGGAAAACATTTTGGCCAACATGCTGTTTGGCTCATTCATTAATGTTGCCCTACAACACACAAAAGAATGAAAAAGTATGCTGCAGGTCAACTTTCTCATTACTTTTTTTTTTAATCATTTAATATTCATCCATAAAGTCAAATGATAGCATAGTGAATGCCTGTATATCCTCATACAGTTTGGTTAGGCCAAGTAAAAGAAACAAATTTAATGTTTCTCGTCCTGCTCCCTTCAATATTTGAAGCTGCCTGTTTTTCCCTATTAATTGCTATTAAAAGGTTAGAATGATAAATTACTTTCAACACCGGTTATTCTAAAATCCGGTGTAACAGGCAATACTTTTCAGTCCTATATTGACGTTTTATTGAGATAAAAAAAGAATTGATGCATCACCTTGTTCAAAACATGTATCAAAATAAACCAAATTTGCATTAGTCATATCTATAATATAACATATATTGTGTCAGTACCTTGTGGTTGTAAATATTTGACCTCCAACATTGAGTGTCACCCAGTCTGTGAATGCTAAAAAAGGTAATTTTTAATAACTACCATACATATGTTTGAGATTGTTGTTGGTTCTCTCCCTTGCTCCGAGAGGTTTTTCTCTTGGTACTCTAGTTTTCCCCTCCCCGCAAAAACTAACACTTCTAAATTCCAATTCCATCTGGAACGCACAGACACGTTGAAACAAGTTCATAAGAACTCCTAAGAGCCTAGTGGGTAAACAAATTACAATTTACAATTTTTTACAAAAATAACCTGGATTGGTCTGGACCAGATAAACCTGAATCTTGTTTAAAAAGACAAATGTTTACAGACAGGGTTTCAGAGGTTGATCCAATCTAGTTGAATCAAGGTTTTGTAAACGGCAACCTCTGGAGATCTAAACTCTGAAGACGCTGTCACTTTTGCAGTATTCCCCTCCCCCACTCCCTCTCCCCCAACCCCTATATCAACTATACCCATATAAACCACACATTGAGTTTTAATAGCTCTCTTCTCTCTTATACATTTAAATATTTATAGCATTATACACCGTAGGACTGCAAAATAACTGTAGAACTTACATTTAACTCCATTGACAGCCTCGTGAACATTGCCATTTACTGGAGGAATGATATGAAGATGGGGTGCAACGGAAAAATATCAGTGGAAATGCCTAATCAATTTAAAAATGCTAACTCATTTACATTTAAAATGGATCATTGTGCAAGTCACTAGCTCCTTGGTCAGTTCAGCTGATGACAAACAAGACCACAGAGCAGGAGTGATATTTGAAAGTGCTAATTATACTGACGGCATCATGTAAATTCAGGGTTGAGACATCAAAATAGGAAATCCTTGCTTTAACTTACATGTACTACATTGTACCTCAATCTATGGGAGTACCGGTATTTTACCAGCATCTTAATTTTTTTTCTGACATATTGGTCTGGAGAAAAACAGTACTTCCTTAAAATGAGAAAGGTTGTCTTTGAGGGGTACGGCTCAAACTGTTGGATTTTTTGGGCAAGATATGAACATTGCCAGTGAAGAGCATTTCAATCTTATTCATTTCTAGAGTACATGTAAATTACTAAACAGTTCATTTTATTCACAAATTTATACTTTCAAATCTTTGGTTCACCACTTGTTCTTGGGACTTGAATAGTATTGTAACTACAGCTAGTGGTGTAAAGGGAATTTTTGGGTATTCAGTCTTAGAGGAGTGGACGTTTGGGGGCATACACTTATTCAGACCCTATTAATACTACATATACTCCATCATACTTAAGAGTACCACTCAATTGTACATGTATTAGATAGAACACCCTGGGACATTTACATGCACATCAGTGTAAATGTATTCATGGGAGGTGAGTGAAATTAGACCTCAAACACTGTGCACGCTATATACATGCATGCTAATAACATATTTTCATTGAATTTCTCAAGTAACAGGCTTTTTTCACGAAAATTTAATGAAAGTATTAGAAGGCTATGTTGCAGTTATATTTTAACCGTAGTTGCAGTTTTTGTATTTGTTCATTTTAATCAAGAAAGGAGCATCAGCTGTATCAGTCTTTGAAGCCTTACCTGTGGTAGGATCTTCTGAAGAAACATAAAGGACTTCATCATCTCTGAAAAATTAAAATGGCACATGTACATGTAAAAAAATTAATAATCATTTCATCACAGAAAACAAAATCCTATACACAGATGATATGTGATAAATATGACCGATATTTTAAACCACTCTGTTGTACCTGACATTATTTACTTGGATTTATATACAGCACTTGATAAAAGATGATATATGTTTGTACCTGATCAACTCAACATCTTCAAGCAGTCCTCCGCTTTTATTATAGACTGCAACTACTGCATTACCATGGAGTCCAAGTTTGTTTTTAGCTTTGAGAAGCAATTCTTCAAAGGTGTCTGGGACAGCAATCACCTTATAAAAAAAAAAAGACACAAACTAATTAGCACATCTTGAGAATACAACTAATGTATCTTTTAAATAAAAAGGTTAATCTTTTTTTTCTTTGAAATTATTATAGTTGGAGCCCTATGGCATTTCAGTGTCTTATTTTATAAAGATTAATTATAATGTCAGACATAAACTTCTATGTCTCTTGGTTCACTCACTAGTAATATGTACCTACATGTATATGTTGTGGCTCAATTTTATCCTTGGTTTAAATTTTATTTCCTTTTGTTTTGAGGAATGGTAATATATGATAATCAGTTTGAAACAAAAGAAATTGAAATTTAAACCAAGGATAAAATTGAACCACAACATATATATTACGCTGGTATTTTCGTAAACCTTTTTTCATGTCTTGGAGCTTTCAGAAGTCTAATAATGTTAAGGGTGTATTAAAGGCATAGCTCAACCCCCCATCCCCTTAAAAAACAATCCATATTCAAAGTTTGCATCCTATTGCGACAGATCTTGATAAAATGGGGTGATCACTTGAGATAGACCGATATCGGCTTATTTTAATGTATTGTATAGCCACTTATTTCCACATCATTGAATAGGAATGTAAGGGAACGCGTCCAAATATCGGTAGGGAACCCGATCATGGGAAACGGACCCCATTAATTTTCCGATTGATCGGAATCGGTACTGATCCATAGGCACCAGTTGCCGTTTCCGATTACGATAAAAACTTTGCCGATTCAATCGGAGCCGGTTGACATTCCGATGTTCATATGTGTGATCGTCATACTATTTTATCTGATATGTAAAATGAAGCGTGTCACGAAACCAAATAATGAAAGAGTCGTTTCACTCCAAAATAATTTCAATCGACTGTACCTTTTTCCTACTCCATAACAAATAGCAATATTGTATGTTCCTGCATGTTGTGTTTCGAGTTTGTTGATTTGATGCTTGCCTATACACGTGATTTTCGGCGTTTTGCAGACGTATTTCCTTCAGTCGATCGCAAACACCACGCTGCTCCATAACATTTATTCTATGAAAATTAAAAGGAGTTAAATATTACAAAGCAAAACACCACTGTTCTTTGTTGATATATAGCAAACAAAACACCTTACTGAGTAGTGTGTTCTTTACTCGATACTTTCTAACAATGCAATCCAAAAACACAACCGGAACTCACTTTTCCGAAACGCAACTGGATTCATAGACTTGTTACAAGTAGACCTCAACGGGTTTCCTAGCGAGCGGAGCGAGAGCAAAACCATGGATAATATAAAACCACGGGATAAACTTTTACGAAAATTTGCGTCTTTCATTATTCAACGATCCTAAACGCAAGGCGTAATGCGATCTGAGGCAAAAAATACTGACCAATTAGATTGCGGCCTTAGATTGTCTCCAAGGAATTAGCAACAAGAACTGAAAGATTCCCACACTCGCGAGTCACGGAAGACACGGAACGAAGTTTCATACAGGAGCCACCAAAGAGAGAATGGCTTAGCGACTTTGCTGTATGTTCTGTGAGCTTGAGCATGGTGCCACGTGAAATTGCTTTCCACTCTCAGCACTTAGAAAAATTTGCACTTGACTCTAGGTGGCTGACTTTTTGACAAAAATCAGAACCTTTTTTACCGGAGTGTTCAACTAAAGCAAACTGTGCATACATCCGGTAAGTTCGACTCAATTTAATAGCGGAAAGAGAATCGACAAAGAGAAAACCAGTTGAACGCCTCCATCAGTCATTTTTTTGAGTTCATATGCAACCAATAAACAAGTTGCAGCCTGATTCTCAGATGATGTCCTCTTCTCTTCTGTGGCAATTTAGCAGTTAAAGTACACAACATGGTAACAACATTTGCATTTTGGTCGTGGATGTTCTGACTTCTATTTTTTTCGTTTACAGTCCTAAACTGTTTATTCCTCCAAAGATTCCTATAATCATGCGTTTTGGGTTCCGGTTAGCACAGGCTCAAGCTATTTTAAAATTATTATTTTGAGATCGTACACTTGCAATGTACATTGCGCCGTCTTTCACTCAAAAGATGCTCTTCAGCGTTGTTGAATGACCTGCAGTTTCTTCTCGTGCCCATTTTGATACACAAATTTAATATTTTCTGGTCATACTCTGTCATAGGAAATACAAACAAATGTTCGAAACTGTGACGTTAAATTTCGGTTCAAACAAGACACATTTATGAGAAAGATAAGGTTATAAAAAACAAAATTCACGCTTTTGCTTTTGCTTTTGCTTTTGTGACGGGTTACTTGAGCTGCCAGATATTTTTGATGACCTTTGTTAATTGGCCCGATAAAGACTTGAGACCCGTTGCCGATTCCGTTTCATTCGGTGCCGATAAAATCGGGTCCGACCTTCAACGGAATCGGAAAAAATCGGTGCCTAATTGATCGGCATCGGTGTGACCCGATGCCGATATTTGGACGCGTTCCCTAATTCAGTAAAATAAATGTTGTTGCATTGGTATGCTTTGTTGCACAAGGCGTTCAGGGATATCTTAATAAGAGCGAGCAGTATTTTAAAATCGCTGTATCGCGATAAAATCATGCAATTGCAATATCCCTAAATCAACTCTTCTGAGAGAACAGTATACGCTTTGTTTAAGCAGGTTTAAGTCCGTAATTAGTTGCGCCAAATATTGAAGGTAAGAAATTAAAGTGGCCAGTGGCTGCAACGAAGATCATACCTTCCCTCCTGTTCTATGGCCTTTTGTAAATATCGTTACTCTCCTCGGAACATTACTTGGCATATTTCATGGGTAAAAGTGAATTTTTGAGGGAGTCGTGTTCCGCCGTGAATCTTGTGAGCATAAAATGCGCTCGTCATGCACGAAAATTGACAGGCGTTATTTTTGTTTACCAGGAATGACGCGAGAAGAGAACTCCTGGGGTCTAGTCATCACCATTCCCTGTCGGTCCTTAAGAAGCGGCCTGTTTGTTTTTGTCGTCTTGTGGGTCAAAGGTAGGAGGTCTAAGGCGTTTAACGTAAATACCCTGTATTGGACCAGAAAGCAAAATAACACAATACAGAAGGAATCCTTGTGGGTAAGAATTAATGATAGACAAAAAAATGTTTTTTTTCTTTGAGAAAGATTCAGTCATGTTCTTTATATCCTATCATTTCCGGTTCGAACGAAGAACAACCATATAAGCACCCCTTTGTGTCCTTGAATTCTTGAGCGAAGTCCTGAAGGGTAATCTGAAATAAAATTTCAACAGAATAAAGGTTGAACAGTTGGGATGATCATATCTTTGTAAGGGTAAGGGTGGTAGGAGCTCTAGTCTTAGGCTACTAAGCCAAAAGATGATAGGAATTATTTTGTTGCTCAGCTGATTTTTCCGGCTGAATTTCACCCACCGGTTTAGCAGAACTGCACACGTGTAACATCGAACCTCCATAATTAATGGAGTCCTTGCTATAATGTACGATATTTTTAGCCCCAGAAATAATAAGAAACTAACAAAAATAATCTTGATATAACAAAACCTTGTTATAGGGATTTTGTTATACATGTAGGGAACATATTTTGCCATACCCTTGGCCCTTCTATATATTGAGGTTACACTAGCTGTGCAGACCTGTACACTGTAGCAGCTGCTGGGGCTCAGTTATCTCCAGACATTTCTATCTGGATCCCACATGGTATCTGTTGGTCAGAGCACTGTTGACAAAATTACGTCCCTGGCTAATGAATGCAACTTAACACTTAATCAGAATTATTTCGTGCCGAGACAATACGCTTCCTCTGACCAGTTCACACTTAGTACCGTTGATTATAAACAAGTAGAGCGTATAATAGCAGCGATGCCTTCAAACAAGGCCCCCGGGATAGATAAAATTCCGATCCGTGTCATCAAAGACTGTCTTAATCCAATTGTTCACCCAATAACGTCTATCGTTAATGCATCCTTTCAAAACTGTGTTTTTCCATCAAAATGGAAAACAGCCGAGGTTACACCCATCCTAAAGGAGGGCGACCATGAACAGGCAAACAACAATAGACCCATCTCACTTCTACCAGTTTTATCGAAGGTTTGCGAAAGGGTAGTACATAATCAACTCACCTCGTATCTGCAATCAAATGACACCCTATCAAAGAGTCAAAGCGGTAACAAGAGATGGCACTCTTGTGAAACATCTGTCATTGAAACAACAGACACAATTCTTAACGCCATCGATAAAAAGAAGTTAACGGCAGTTGTACTATTAGATATGAGCAAAGCCTTTGATAGTGTCAATCATGACACGTTAATTTTAAAATTGCAAGATGTCGGAATTTCCAGTGACACTCTCCAATGGTTTCGTAGTTACCTAAGCAACAGGTCACAAGTAGTACGAATCTATTCAACGCTATCTGAGCCTTTGTCTGTGACCAGTGGCGTTCCTCAAGGAAGCATCTTGGGCCCACTTCTTTTTAGCATATATACGAACGATCTTCCATTGATCCCACAGAAATGCAGCACCCAGAGTTATGTAGATGATACGAAACTCATTACTTCCTTCGAGCTTAAAGCCAACCTGGATGCAATTGCTGATTTGGAAGACGACCTGTTTAAAATAGGGGAATGGTGTTCCAACAATCAATTGTTACTAAACCCTGGCAAAACCAAGTTGATGATATTTGGCAGCAGGCAGATGCGTGCAAAATTCCAATTTCGTTACCTTTCCTTTATGGGTAAGGACATTGTCCCTACAGACACCGCCAAAGACCTTGGTGTGACTTTGGATTCTAATTTAACTTACGATGAACATATAATTAAAACCGCTTCCTCGTGCATGTCCCGCCTTGGCCAGATAAACCGTGTCAAGCATGTCTTCGACAAACGTACACTTTTGATGATTATTAATTCCTTAGTTTTTAGCAGGTTATTTTATTGCTCCAATGTTTGGTCAAATACCTCAAAATGTAATGTCAACAAGTTACAGGCAGTGCAGAACTTCGCATGCCGCATTGTTAGCGGCGCGCGTAAATTTGACCATGTTACACCAATTCGCAAGGAGCTAAATTGGCTTTCAGTTCCCAGTCAGCTTTATTACCGGAACGCTACAATGGCTTTTAAATGTATGACCGGTCAAGCCCCTGAATACCTTACATCAAAATTCATAAAGCGAGCAGAGGTTAGCCGACGTAGCACCAGAAATTCACAGCTTTTACAAATTCCCTTTTTTAGAACAGCTGCCGGTCAGAGAACATTTTTCTATAGAACTGTGAACTTATGGAACTCCCTAGACAATTCCTTTAAACTGTGTAACTCGATTGATGTTTTTAAAACTCGTTTACGTACTAAATTACTTAAAGAATTGTAATTTTATATATATTTTAAAACATTTCTTAATTGTAAATAGGATCATGTATTGTCTTTGAAAAGCCCCTTGGGAAAGTCAATAAAGTATGTATGTATGTATGTATGTATGCCAAAATTTTTACTTATCTAAGTCAAAGTGAGTAACACCTGCATTAAATGAAATTATCTGCATACTCACATTATACTATAATACGTATTATTCGTTATGTATGTCTAGAAACTGATTATTCCATACTTTGATCACATTAAATTTCAAACATTAATTTAACAATTGTCTGGTTCTGATTTTTATGTGGACTGTTTTAGGATTAGTCTTTTGTGCGGTGTGGTATCATGGCCAAACAAACTGGACATCTATTGCGGCAACTCAGGTCACTAATGAGAAGTAAACATCTACTGAGTGAAGCAATTCAGGCTTACATTATCCCTTCTGAAGATGCTCACCAGGTTGACTATTCTAAATTGAAATTTTATAATGCCTTGTTTATAATATTTAATGCCCAAAACAGCACTGACTAGCTTCGTTGACATCCCCACTCCCCTTCAATTTGGTAAGGAAGCTAATGGCTTGCAATATTGCCTGTTTGTAGCTAAACAAATCAAGCTTTTCCCTTCGCTGGGAACTTAACTCTTTTTTCATGCAATTTCTGCTGAAAGAATTTTGTTGTTTTGTCAACCAACATGGCCATCTTGTCACTTGGTTGCAAACCAAGAATATCACAGCTCCATGATGTGACCATGCATTGTCCTTGATTCTAAGTGGGTAGTACTAGTTTTTTTAAAGGCCCTTGTTTTTTGGTTGGACATGGGTAAAAGCTATACACACTCTTACTTAGAGGACTGATTTGTTTATATATGGTATAATTTATTATAAATTGATTATAATAAATTAATAAAATTGTACATTATTTTATTTTGGCAGAATGAATATCTTGCATCATGTGACTTGAGAAGAGAATTCATCTCTGGCTTCAGTGGTTCAGCAGGTATGGTTAGGACTTGCTGGGGGTTGATAATTTTTTAGTCTTCTAGCTGCTGCCTAGTTTACCCTGCTCCTTATAATTAAATTTCAGGTACTGCCATTGTCACAGACACCTTGGCTGCCCTGTGGACTGATGGGCGTTATTTTCTCCAGGCTGAAAAACAGTTAGATTCTAACTGGACGCTTATGAAGCATGGTAATGTTTATTAAGTAGACCTCTCCTGTTTTTTTCTTGAAAGCTTAAAACCTCTCCTTTATTTAGGGGGTCTTCTTCAATAGGCTAAGATCTCCCGCTATTTTCACATGGAATCAGATTTGTAAAAATGAATAATATCGGAAAATGTTAATTATACACAACAGATTTAATGCATTTAGAAGTTCCTCACTTCTCTTAACAAAGGAGACTTTAACAGAGAATTAACCCATTGCAACTTCTTGGTTCTGCCATGAATTTTTCCCATGTGACATCTGTCAGCTGGGTAATGCCAGGGTCCCATTTTAGGGATAACATTTTTATACATTTTAAGATCTGTATGAGCATTTCAATGAATACATAATATAGATGATAAAATTATTAAGTAGTTAGGGGCATAGCTAGCTCCTATTGTAAGTCATTTTCTTTGGGAAGGGGGGGGTGACTTGATTACATTTCCATTTTTACCAGTATATCAGTATGATAAAGACTGCCATCGTCAGGCAGCATGTATAGCTTTCGAGACAAAATTGGGAAAATTACCACATTTTGTCTAAAAAAATTATATGAGAGAGGTTAAAGGGGATTTAGTTATAATAGGTAAGTTCTCCTTTTTCCAACAATCCCATATTTTTTCCCTTGTGTGCTTTTCTGTTTTGGTTTCATTATTATTTGTTATCAGTTCAACATTTTTTCTGGTGTACGCACATATGTGTGCTGGGGGTACAGGTTAAGCTATGCCCCTGCAGGTAGTTATTACTTGCTACTCTAGCAAACCATGTATTCCCAGTTCCTATAATAGTAGAATCATCAGCTATCAGTATTATTGATCTTTAAGTATTTGATGCATTATTAGGGCTTCCTGATACACCTACTCAGGAGGAATGGCTCATTCAGGTACGAGATATCGTGGACAACTTTTGCTGTTATTTCCTGGTATTATTCACAGCTTGGTTTTATGGAATACAAATCATTCAGAACTAAGTTACTGTTACAGGTTTGGTAGCTGTAAAACCAGTCTGAAAAATTTTACTCTCACTGTGGAGCAATTAGCCAAAATTTCTATTTTAAAAGCAATGTAGAAATTTTTGGTTGCCGTACTGGGCCCTAATTGGTCGAGATTTATTTATAAATTGCATTTCCAGCCAGTCATTGGAATTTTCCTTGTAGACTTTAAAGAAAATCCTTCGTCTTACTTTATATGGCACAGGACGAAGACCTCTCGCAACTTCATTGCTTGCTTGGCTGCTTTGTGGCCTACAATATTATAAAAAGCTGGCTCCACTCATTTAGAAACTTGTGAGGTCAACTTGTAGCAAGTCTAAGTTATGTTCTGTGTGCATGTGATTGCGCATATGAATATGTTTTAAGTTGATTATAACTTTTTCCATAAAACTACAATTTTGATACATTATAATAGAAAACATGTCTCCCACAAAAATGCTGAAGATTTTGCTTGCATGTTTTTGTGATATCATTCCCATGATCCATCAAAGTGAGGACAATCAAGAAGCATGATATATAGATACATCGATCATCAGTGAAAATAAAAAAATCCTGTGTAACTGCTGTGCAGTTTGTTTATTTTTTGTTTTGTCTCCATTTTAGGTGTTATCAAGTGGTTCTAGGGTTGGAGTGGATCCTTGTGTTATAACCCATGGTGAGAGCTACTGTTTATAGGATATTCTCGACTAAGAATATTTTGATTTAGGTTTGAGAGTGATTGACACAGATTTGTTAATGTTAACTGCACTGATTTATCTTTATTTTCTTTTGCATTCTTGTAGACAAGTGGCAGAAAATGTCTCGGGTGAGTGTTAAATGTTGTAGGTGTAATTTAAGTTCAGGTTAAAATTGTTCAACCTCAGTAAGTTGGTCCTCAATTTCCTTTAATATCGTTGCCTCCTAACCACTAAGTAATCATTATCATGAGTCTATGAACCAGGGTTAGAAAACAAAGGAAATTTAGAATCAACCGCAAGGTTAAAAAATAATAATAATAACCTAAATTTAGTGAATAGACAGCATTTCTATTCAGATCACCTAAAGAAAGCGTTTATACCAATCCCTTCATCGTAGAATGACATATCAGTATTTACTCTCAATATAAAAGAATCAAGCATAAAAAATTAGAACATTCAAGTTATAAAGTTACTTTATCCACGCTTTAAATTAAGGTATGCTCTTCAGAATTGCAACATTTTTACTGTACCTTTGTATACTCCCTCCACTGTGTATTTTTAAATGTTTTAAATATTTTTATGAGTGACATATGATTTGTGAAAATCCCTGTCTTCAGGCCTTGTCAGCAGCAGGTCTATCATTGGTGTCAACAGAGACAAATCTTGTTGATCAGGTTTGGGAAGATCACGGCAGACCTGATCCCCCAAATGAGGGTCTCATAGTCATGGACATGTCATATACAGGTCAGTAAATTGCTGATTTGATATCCTGCTTTAAATCTGGTGATAATATTTTGGTGTGATTGCAGCTTAGCCAGGTTCAGCTGGGCTAAGAGAATAAGTTTAATATGACAGGCTTCCAAGGGGGCATTAAACAACTGTGCCCTTTCCTCTTGGGTCTTCTATTGGCTCAGTGGGCGAGGGTGAGGTAGAAAAGGGACAAAGGAACTCTCTGTCCCTTTCCCTCCCCCCCCACCCTGTTCTCCAATTTGAGCCCAGAAAGTGCCAAGAGAGTTTGCTTGCTGGCTACCCAAGATCCTGCCTAAATCCACCGAAATGTCCACAAACAGATGGAACATATCTGATCTGGGGTAATTCTACTATACTGTTCTATGCATGGAAATTATGTTAGTTAGAGTGTTGAGGCTGACCAGGGTGACATCAGTACACACATCTAAATGTCTGAATGAAGAGAGACATTACATGAAACATAATGGTTTGTCTTAAAGGAATCTTCATGATGGCATTGACTGAGGCTTTGACCCTAAATCCAGTACACATCAGGGCCTGGGTTGTTCAAAGCTGGATTAAGATAACCCAGGGTTAGTGCGAAATTTGAGTTCAGATATGAAAGCTTAAAAAGCAAATTAAGTTTAATTCTTTTTGCCTACAATTTGATGATTGGATGCTCTAAAAAGGATTAGGAAAATTATTCTTTTGACTAGAAAATACTTTTGAACAAAAGAAAAAGAAACCCGGATTAAAATGTAAACTCGAGATAGCGCTAATCGACCTTAGCTTTGAACAACTTGGCCCTGATCACTGTACTGAACTGCATCTTCATCTAAAGAATAATAACATGCATTTATAATTTCCATGAAAGTTGTCAGAGTATTATCAGTATTGAATTAACATAACACCCAGATCTTTGCATACTCCATTAATATCACGTTGCATATTTTTACTTCTTTAATGCAATTGTAGGTAAAAGCTGGCATGATAAAGTCAAAGAAGTAAGAGAAAAAATGACAAAGAAGAAAGCTGATGCGTTAGTGATAACAGCATTGGATGAGATTGCTTGTAAGCATAAGAAACATTGTACTATCTTTTGTGATCTCCTAACCTCTTTTTGTCATCTTTTATAGTTTCTTTATTAAATTCTAATCAATACCTTCTCTGTTTCAAGGGCTGTTTAACTTGCGAGGCTCCGATGTGGTTTTTAATCCAGTCTTCTTTGCTTATGCCATGATTAAACAAGATGAAGTAATGTAAGTTAACTACCTTAAAATATGAAATTAACGCTCTATGAAATTAATGTATTGGAAGTCAACGAAACTGAAATTAACGTGAATTTAGTGGAAAAAGACTTTCGAATAATGGAATTTAGGGCAAAGGAGAGGGTAACGTTTCAAAATTGATGAAATTACGCGACGTTTTCAAAGAAACAAAACTTCTTGTAACAACGGGAACAGAGTTAAACGTATAATCCGAAATAGCAAACTTTGTTTGTGGCACTTTCCCTATATGAAGGGACTCCCTTTCCCTGTATGAAGGGAGTCAAGCTGAGAAATCTGGTCACTTCGAGGGTTCTTCATAGTTCCACTGTTACTGTCGGATCTCCAGCCTAATAAAATACTCCTCCTTCTCAGGTGTCAAGAATGTCAGAAGTGTATCGAGAATTTAGGGCCAAGATAATGGAAATTAAAATCGCAGAAATTAACGCTCCACTTAATTTCTGAAATTTGCGCTAATTTCATGAGCGTTAATTTCCTATAATAAGGTAATGAATAAATTGTTGTATTTCCTAAAATCGTGGCAATTAATGGAAGTGAACTCAAGATATTTACGTTTCTGCCGGACACACTTTGAATCCTTTTAAGCAAAGGTTTCATAATACATAAGCAAGTAAAAATCAACGATCATGAAAAAAGTAGAAGGCACGTTTAGGTTTCGTCATGACTTTCCTTTCTTAGTAATAAACGTGCAATGGCCGTTTTCATCCTAGAGGTTGATTATCCGTTGGATAATTCGCCTCAGACAGATAATACGTCGTAATGTGAAAATTGAACGGCTTTTATTTTTGAATGAATAATCCGTCTGATTGTATAAATCTGTTTATCCGACAATTTTCACGGATTTTGGAGAGGGATTTTCCGTGATGAAAACGGCCAATGCCATCAAATAGTCCGGCGGTTTTGCTTGCATTGAGTCCGACTGGACGTTATAACAGAGGGCGAGAGGTTGGAGGGCTGGATTTGCCATCTGAAGACGCTGAGTTCAAATAGCTCTATTAACCGCTACACACCTTAGCTGGATTTCATCTGAGTACTCCTCGGTAACGCTTGTACATGTAAATAACCGACGGGTTAGCCTGTCTAGTGGGGAACAAGGGGACAACGGATCCCAAAAAAGGGTGAAAAACCGTGTGAGGGCTAGAGAAAGAGGGTGTCGTTTTCCGCCCGCTCGCTTTTTTCGTTTGTCTACACTGACCGAGAGCCTGCTTCGCCTCCGGCCAGTTGGGATTCTTAAAATGCTAAGCTTATTTCAATTGTTTGTTTCTGTCCTTATTGCCTCAATAAAAACTAACTGATGGCCGGTTATAAGTAACTGCGCCACCCCTATTTTTTTTTCAGATGGTGTTAATTCTGCATGTAATGAGCAACATTTTGTATTCTACGCAGTCGAAGTTGCTTTTACACATTTTGCACACCACTTTAACGACAAACATCTTTAACAGGAAGACTTCCCTTTTTGCAGGTTGTTTATAGATATGTCAAAAATTGACAAAGCTGTTTCCAACCACCTTGGATTGGAAAGCACTAATGACAACAGTGAAAGCAAAGTTTCTGTTTGTCCATATGATGGGATATGGGATGCCGTTAGTGAAGCTGCTAAGAATGGAGCCCGTATTTGGGTAGGGAATACTGTTTTGGTTGTACTCGGGTAAACTCGATCTATATACATGTAGAACGCCAGCAACATGGAAAACAACATGGAAAACAGTACTGTCAAATCTATCGACACCCCTTCTCTGTTAACTTTACGTACTGTTTTTCTACTTTTATAAAGGTTAAAATCTTTTGCACCAGTTTTGCACATTCTCTCTCTTTACAGTGAAACATCGATATAACGAAGAACCAAGCGACTGGTAAAATATGCTCGCTATAACGCGGTTTTTTTTTTTTTTTTTTTTTTTTTCGGGGCACTTCAGGTTCAGTTTTTCCCTAATTTGATACCCTTTCTTTTACAAAAAAAATCTTTTTTTTTTCCCCCACCTTCGTGTTTTACATTTCCAGTTATTTTTAAGAGCCATTTTTCGTTTTAACATTTTTCGTCTTTAAACTCTATTGTTTTTGTTTTTTTTTTTATGAGAGGTGGTGTTCGTATTTTTTGAGGTTGTGTGTGTTCTGTTCCTTCTTTCCCTCTTTCCCCTCCCTCCCTTTCATTTTTTTTTTTTTTTTTTTTTTTTTTTTTTTTAAATTTTTTTTTTTTTTTTGTTTTTTTTTTTTTTTTTTTTTTTTTTTGTCGAGGCTCTTCAGGTTCAGTCTTTCCCTAATATGATACCATTACTTGTACAAAGAATATCGTTTTTTATTCCCCCAACTTCGTGATTTACATGTCCAGTTATATATAAGAGCCATTTTACGTGTTAACATGTGTCGCATATAAGCTCTAAATTCAGTGTACATACTTAGTGCTATTTATCCTGTTTTGTCTATTATATTATTTTTTCATGTTTTTTTTCTTTTTGGCAGATTAGTTCATCATCCAGTGAAGCATTAGCCAGACTCGTTCGTAAGGTATAAAACTGATAATTAGGTCTCTTCCACACATATCCGGAGAAAGCCTGTCCACGTGTAGCGTATTCGAATCGTTTTTTGCACATCCACACGCAAAAACAACATCCACTCGTATCCGTTTTTGTTTGAAAACGGAGATTTCTGTCTCCGTTTTAGCCTTCCGTCCACGCGTAAACGGCGTTTTCTGGCACCAAAAACGTAGGCTTTTGAAAACGTTCCCCATAGTAGAGATTTTTGAAAACGCCGGGTTTTCAGTGTCATGAGTGGCACGTGCTCTGTAAAGGACGTTGTCGTATATACATCATTTCAGCGTTTTAATGTGGATGCGCAAAACCGATTTGAATGCGCTACGTATTTTCTTGGAATACGGAGAAAAAATCTTCGTTTTCAAAAATAACCGGATGCGTGTGGACGGAGCCTAAGAGCCCGATTAATCATGAATCTGTTCACTGAGTAGGGAAAAGATTGAAAATTGAGTATCCAAAAACCAAAAAAAAGTGTCAGCTACCTTGGAAAACATACTACACGCTGCTAGCCAATGGACCAATCAGCTTAAATCAAACTATATAGACATATATGCAGTCAGCGGTCTGCTCAGCGTGTAAAAACGGGTAAAGACTAAATCATACGATACAACTTTGTGGCCACACTGCGTGTTTCATGAGTAACGTTATTTCTTTGTCTACAACACATAGCTTAATGAAAGGGATGAGCAAATCGCAATTTGGTTAAATGAAATAAATTTTACTCCTGCGCAAATTATTTTAGCCGATCGTCTCACGTAGCAGGGCAAAACTATAAATCAATCGCCCTGGAACAATTCCGTTATTCAATTAAAAAAATATTCAAATTAATACAGCTGTTTCGAGAAAGGTTGTCGGAAAAAGTGCACGCGACAATCCCGAAAGGTATTGTGGGTGGTTTTGAGTTCACTCTTCTTCAAAGAAATTTGGAAAAATGGCACAAGAGGCCATGGACTTATGTTTGAAAGTGCTAAAGGAAAGCAACAAAACGAAGTTCGACAGCTACAGTGTCACGAACAGTGTGTTGATCATATCCCATATTACCTTTCGGGATTGTCGCGTGCACATTTTTCTCCGGCAACCTTTCTCCAAATAGCTGTATATTTTAGGAATAAGGGTCAACAGGGTTCATTTTGTTCACTACAGACTCATCTCATTACTAATCCATCACCACTGGCCCTAAGTAAGGCAATCAAGAATGAAGTAGAAATCGAGGGCATGAAACAAGCTCACGTAAGTGATATATATATATATATGCGTTATGGGCCAAGCGGGAGGTTAAGATGGCTGCTTACTTGCCAAGTTCTTTTTTTTTTTTTCGAGTTGTTCAGGACCAAGACGAAGTCTAGGTTAATAAAAACGCAAAAAAGAACGAGGCTATCTTGACCAATCAAACTTGATCAATAAAGAATTTATCACGCATTTGGTCAAAAAGAGAACTTTTCTTGCGGGATCGACGCGGGAAATCCCGAGCGGGCGCAAGATGGGCCCTTCTTGCCGCTCGATAAGCCAATCAAAACACATGAAGTGAAGTGAAGTGACGCCTTTATTTATAGAGGGTAACACTTGACAGTTATGATCTTAACTGATAAACTTGTGGCCCTCTGTCAGCATAAAATTAATAAAATATTTTAAAAGATTACAATGTCAATTTAAAAAGATAAGAATTTACATTTGTGAAAGCTATAATAGACACAATTTAAAAACAAGCAAAAATTTCGAAAAACTATCTAGTCTTATTTTAAAGATTGTAACGAATGAAAAACTCGAAACTTTACATCTACCCAGCAATTTTGCGGTTTTCGATGGCTGCTATTTCCTTTGTTATTGCTTGCAAGAGCTGAAAATTACACAAATCATTCAATTTTACAAACTCTTTCTACTTCTGAATGTAATTTCCGCATACAAGGTTAAGTCGTATGCCAATGAGCAAACGTTAGCAAAGATTCGCCTATAGTCCTTGTACCAATTTACTCATGGCCTGTTCGTGATAAAGAAATTGTTCTTAATTTCAATTCAGATACGCGATGCTGTAGCTTTGTGTGAGTACTTCTCCTGGTTGGAGCAAGAGGTTCCGAAAGATGAGCTTACTGAAATCACTGGTGCAGCTAAACTTGAAGAACTGCGAAGGTGATAAATTAAATAATATTTCAGTCTTACAATATAACCTGTGAATGAGACTGACGACTACTAAGTTATCATTTTGATCGAAAAAAAAAACACAATGCGGATGACATCACATTATGTAAATAAAATTTACTTCCCTTGTTTTAAAGTTTTAATACTTCTGTTTTATAATTTCTTCGGTGAACAGTGTAGCATCTATCTAACTTATTATCTGTTTAATCGGTCGGCATTGTCCGATTTGTTAACCGATTTTTATTTGCCTCCTTGATTATTTGATTGTCAGAAATCAGTAAATTTGTAATTGGTTGATAAATCGCGCGCCAATTTCCACGGTCTTTAAGGAAGTCACGTGTTATTCCAACACGTTTAATTTCCTGCGCCTGGCGTCGGCTACAGGGAACTGGAAAAATGAAAAATGGGGAAAAACCCAACCTTAATCCCTAGTTCTATCAGTACACTTATTACCCATTCTTTGTTCTCTCTCTTCTTTTCTTGTTCCTCGCTCTTCGTTCCCCGCTTAGTAACATCCAGAATTTTTTAAGATGCAAAATTAAAAAAAAAGATGTTCGTTTCATTTTCTTTATTTCAGAGAGCAAGAGAACTTTATGAGCCTCAGCTTTGAGACAATTTCAGCAGTGGGTCCTAACGGAGCGGTCATTCATTACAGGTATTGATATTAGCTTACAAACAAAATTGTGGTCCTTGTTATGTTGCCTGTCTTGGTTAAAAAATCAAGAATAGAAGTGGACTGCAATTCAGTCCGTATTTTGTGTTGGTCAAGAGCGCAGGAGCGGTGTCACAGTGATATGGGCATCTTCGCGTTTCGGGCATCCCCATTCCCAAAACCCTAGTGATATGGGCATTCCTTGTAATCCTAATCCTAACCCAAATTGCTAAGGTAATATGAGAAGGGGATGCCCATATCACTAGGGTTTGGGGAATGGGGATGCCCGAATCGCGTGTCTTCCCAGTCTCACTCTTTGTTTTCACCCTGACGCTCCAGGACGTTTGTTTAACCGCTGTTACAGTGATACGGGCATCCCCGCTAAATTTTATTTCTCTCGCCCCACATGGGCATGTGAGGCTCGCAAGATTCGCTCGAGAATGTCACGGGCTCCTCGGTAAACCAATTTTTAAGAAAACAAGGAGCTGTTCTGCGGTCTAACATAAAAGATGTGGATACTTGGAAGTCTGAGACCAGGCCACAGCTTTGCGAACCCATCTTAAGCTGATACGTATTTCCTGCAGTATGGTGTCAATACAGTGGGCCAATGTTAAAAAACAATTCTTAGGAGATATCTTAACGAATCTTAACGTAGGAAGTCTTCGTAAATCTGGAGCCTAGGGTAAAATGAAGACTTGACTATAATTAACATACAGACCAAGGGCCGGTTATTTAAACGGAATTTAACTAGTTTTTAACAAAACCGCGTTCTAAGTCATTTTCAGTTTGTCCAACGCTTTAATCTAAACATCATTGCCGTGAACAGTTTCATTAAAGCATATAGTTTAGACTAGAAAAGTATTAACCCACCAAGGAAGAGATCTGGAAGTCCAAAGATTTCTTAAACCGCGGTCTAAGTTAGACTTCGCTTAGATAATCGACCATAAGTGTTCAGGAACGCAGGACAAATAATACATTTTGTGTGCTTGTTTACAGACCAGCTGAAGATACGGACCGTGTTATATCCAATGAAGAGCTATACTTATGTGATTCTGGAGCACAGTTTAAGTAAGTCAGCCGTTTATCTTTCAGTTCTATTCATTCACATTGGGTTTAAAGAAGAACTTGAACTTAGTATAGAATTCCTTACTTGTTTCACCTTTCCAGATAAGGGTTGTTAACTGATATTATCTGAGAGAGAGAGTTTGAGATTAAGATTACAAGGGAAAGGAAAGGGTTCATGTATTCCACTTCAACTGAACTAATGAGATGCCATTTTAAAACACTCGGATACTTCGGTCCCTACTATACTACTCCTATGTAGCTGTCGACTTTGTCCGGGAGGGGTGTTGTAAACAAGATAGGATTAGATGATAATTTGTGAACATGTGATGTAAATAGGCGTTGGAGAGATCATGGGAAGTAATCGGATCAGGCGTTCATTCTCTAGTTCGGATCGGTTTTGTGTCGTCTGTATATCTCGGAAAGGACCTCGAGTTATTAGCAGTCAGTCTTGTCTGGAAAAATTATCTAAAAGTCGAAATAAAGAGTATGGTCATTTTCAACAAGGGGTTTTAGAAGGAGGGGAGGGCGAGCGAATGGCGTAGCCACGTGTGGAATGGGCCTACACGGTGCCTGCTTACGCAGCGTTGCCGCTCTTTTGCGCGCTCACCAAAACCGTCAGTTACGTAGGCCAAGATCAAGTCTGTGCACGACTTCATTCTTTTTACCTTATCGGACTTTTTAATGTTTTCGTTTGCGTTCTAGAGATGGAACAACTGATGTGACCCGAACTTGGCATTTCGGAGCTCCCACAAAGTGGGAACGGGTAAGTAGAACATGGGTCACGTGATGCTTTACTTTCAAGAGTGCGGTGTAATACGTCGATTAGACTGCAAAACAGTCGGAGTTTTTTTCAAATTCGGTTTTGCAAGGCGCGGAGCTTCGAAGCGAAGCGAAGCGATTAAAAAGCTGACGTGGACGATTTTGGATTAAGAGCTTCCAGTGCCGAGAAATACGGGTGCCAGTAAAATTGTTAATGGCGTTATCTCGTTGCTATAACAACTCCGATGTCATGGTAACCCTGAGAAAAACAAATTTTCATCATTATCTAATACAGCTGTGGTGGCCATTGGTGATTTTTCCAAATCTTTGTTAATGGCGACGTAGTTTAAGCTCAAACTTGAGAGATACTCGTCCTGAAAAACCCCATCGAGCCACCTTAAAAATAACTTTAGAAAGCAGGTCACCCTGTCTTACATACCACGAATTGCATCGAAGGGTTTAGTTGTTAAACCTAAATAGTAGCTGAAATCCTGTAACCAACTTTTTGCTGCGCTAACGTTTAAGTAGCTTTTGACAAAACTATCCTTGGAAACTTTGCCCGACTATCGGGTTCCCCTGCTCGCACACTCCGACCAATTAACTCTAAAAATTGAAGTTAAACGTCTTTTGTTAGAGAAGTCGGCAAACGTAGAGATGAAGAGTAAATTTTCATTCGTGGCTTCAATTTCTTTCCATTGACAGGGCGACAATTGTTTTCTGTATTCAGCTTCACGAAGTCGCGAAACATTATCTATATTTGGAAGCCCTTACGTTGGTAGATTTCTTGTTACTTTCATAGGAATGTTTTACGCGTGTGTTAAAAGGCCATATTGCACTGGCAAGAGCTGTCTTCCCCAACAAGACTACAGGTTTGTCAATTTGTCCTGTAACGCGTAGAAGTAACAAACTTGTACCAATTTAATGGTACCTAAGTTATTGTGGGTGTGTAATACATTCACACCTCAAGCGCGCCTAACTGCCTGTGGATTCGTATCCCTTGTGATACTTGTGACTTCACAAATTTTAACCTTTTTAGGCAAACAAGCGCGGTTCAATTAAACAGGCTAAAGAAAAAAATGAAACGCAAAAATAAGATGTAACTTTGACACGAAAATTAAGGTTTTGTTCCACTTAGTCTAACTGCCCTCAAAGTAATTTCAAGATCCTCGGAATTTTCGCAAAAACATCTCGCAGCGAAATGAGGCTTAGTTACTGCCTAGCAAAAGGAAAAAAACGGGGGAAGGAAAACGAAAGAAGCTGAAAGGAGAGAGAGCGAAAGGTAAAGACGAAGGGACAGAGTTGTTCTTTGATGTTGACCGTTTTAAAATATGTTTTATCGAACCTCTCCTTAAGAGATAGGCATTCTTCCGCAAACACATGACTTGATGCTTATCAGGGTTTTCATTTGAGGCCGGAGGCCGGACGTTTCGTCCGGTCGTTTGCCATTCCACGTCCGGTACTTTGAGATCAATATTGGCGATTTTTTTTTACTACTGTATTATATATTTTTCTTACTAAGGCATCTCATGAACATACTGACTAGAGGATAACAGAATAATCAATTACATTCTTCAAAACGGCCATATAACTCTTTTTTCTTTGCTTATTGAGCGGCGGGATATTTTATTGGTTTCCCCTCTTCATTTAAACGGGATTGTTACCAAACATCTTTTTTGAAAATCAAATAAATTCGCAATGATAAGCCAATGAAAATTCTGTTGTTGCCATTCTCCCTCCCCCTCCCCCTACCAACTGACCATTTTCATTCAGTAATTTACTTTTTAAAGAGAATTTTAGTGAGCGCCAGCATTGCCTAGGAAACTGTTTCCTTGGTTCCAGAAACGCTGGAAATGGCGTTTCTGAGTATTCTATTTTAAAAATTTCCTGGGGGAGCATGCCCCCAGACCCCCCTAGGTGCTTGCGCCTTCGGCGCTCGCGACGCGCCTTACGGCGCCAAGAAAAAATTCACGTCCGGTGCTTTCAGAAGTATGTCCGCTACTTTACAAAACAGTTGAAAACCCTGATGCTTATGAACTTCACTTTACGTGGCATAATGCAGACTTCTGTAACAACAACGAACGAAGGGGAAAACATTTATATCTTCCTGTTCTTCACATTTTTGAGCTGCTTTCCTTTTTCTCAAAAATGCCGTGTGTCTACAACTTCATTCCAAGCACGAAACAAACAAGTTTGACTAACATGAAACGTAATTTTAGGCAGTGCGAGGAAGAACATTTATAGAAAGCTATTTCGCAGTTTAATTAGCTTATTACTCAACGAAACACTCGACTTCTAACAACGGGTGTTTTTTGTAGGACACAGACTGGACGCTCTAGCCCGCATGGCGTTGTGGGATGTGGGACTGGATTTTTTGCATGGAACGGGACATGGAATTGGCTCATTTTTAAACGTACACGAGGGTAAGCGACGTCCGTGCGTCCTTTAGGGACTAGGACATTTGTGCTACTTAGATATTATTTTCGTAAAACTCTTGACTTAAATGTCAAATAAACCTCATTCGCTTTTCATCAGCCAACTACCCGTTACAAATCACACGATATTCCCTATGTTTAAAATCCTGTATCCTTTAAGGAAATTGTGTTATATGAGAAATATTATAAGAGCTTACTTCTTTAAGTACTATCACGTGACATGGGAGAATTCAACAGAGCGCGATGCCTTATCTCTCATTCAACTGGCTAATAGTCACCTTCCTTACCGCGGAGATCCCGAATATACATCTTATTTGTAGCAATTACATGTTCTGTACCAGGAGCCCTTAACGCAGAGCGAGTAACTCCCTTGTGTCCACCCAACGGCGTTTTCAAGGACCACTTTATTTTTAGATCAATCTTCTCACGAATTTTGAGTATCAAATAAGTGTTACAAATCAGTCAGCAGTTGCTAAAGACAAAATAGTATCTCTGATGTTCTGATGATATTTACTTTTCCTTTTTTCTTTTTTCATACTATATGTACAGATGCGCACACATACGAAGTGGTACTTCCCTAATTTCGCGGGGAAAATGTTAAAAAATGAGGCTAGAAATAAACTGATCAGTGAAAACGCCGTTACATAGGGTGCTTTCCATTTTGCCAAACCAACCAGTTAGAAACCAGTGGAATTATCAAGAGAAAATGGAACGACATTTTTCAGTTGAAATAGAGTTTTCAATCGAATCAAGCGATCCATTTACATTTCTACCGAAAGTTTGACTACTGGTTAGAAACGTAGGACTGGAAACGAGAATTTTTGGAAATGGGACGGAAAGTTTCGGTCGGACCGGACCGACCGGTCAAAGAGGACCACCTGTGGAGGTGGACCACTTTGACCGGAAAATTTCCACCTGGATCGAACCGTTCCATTTGCGTTTGGACCGAAATTTGCGGAAATTGTGGCATAGTGGAAAGCACCCATAGCCTAAGAAAGGGAGTTTCACGCTTCGAGTTGAACAGTACTTGGACTTCATAGTTACAGTGCTTGGCAAAAGGAAAATAACGTTATCTGCTCGTTGCATGAAGATTGACTTCTATAGGATGGGCTTCAAGAATCTACCTCAGTCAAGGTTTATGCGATTCTTTTCATTACATATACTATCGTGATAGGTCCCCAGAGAATAGGCAGCCGGACCACTGAGAATGAAGCTCCTTTAGAGGCTGGCATGATGGTCACTGATGGTGAGTCACAAGCCTTAATATGGTAGATTTTTCTTACTTCCACCAAGCGTATTCTGCTAACGTTAGAGCGTTTAAGCTTCACGTATAAGGCAAACGGCAAACGTCAGATTCAAGTTTAGAATTTCTCAAAATAGAAATAAGCTGATAAAAGCAGCTCAAAACAGTCCTTTTGAATACAAAATTGCGTGAAACTACTAAATTATGTGTAGAAGTAATGAACCGTATTAAACGACAATTAAGGGGAAACTTGATCACGTGGTACAAATTCGCGTGTGCCGTTGGAAATAAACGAGATGATCAACATCTCTTTTAGTTACGAGTATTTCGCCTCATCACATTATCAGAAGAAATCTGAACGTATTGTTTTAAGGTAAGAGAGCTCATAACAGGCCGTTCGTATCAAATCGCTTAGTGGAGGCTGGGTGCCTGGGATATTCAGGGATGTCCACTCTCGGTATAGCTATCCGTATCCCCTAGACAGTGTTAGATGACCATGGCTAAAAAATCCTCGCCACCCTGCCATGAGCGCCCAAGCCAAACGAAACCAGGCAACCGTCAAACTGACAAATCAGTCGAGAAAATAAAGAGAAACAGGAAAGGGGTAAACACATGATCTACAGGCTAAACGAAAGTCAGTGGCCGCCACGAAAACGCGGTACCAAACACATGGAGCTGATGTAAGCAAGGCTGGCTGCGCCTGCGCCACTATACTGACCGCTTACCGATTAAATATTGGCTGAAATTTTGTGAGCCGGAGCATCAAAATAAACTCTCTGGAATAGCATTTACAGACCAAATTGGTCAAGATAAAAAGGAACTTTGGTCAAGCAAATTAAAACGACTATTAAATCTCGCAGGTCTTGGCGACGTATGGTCAGCGAAAACTAACACTCCCGCAATCATAAACTATATACGACAGAGACTCTTAGACATAGAACAGCAAACATGGATTAGCGTAATACACAATGATGAACGAAAGGACCCGCATCAAAAAAACAAACTAAGAACCTTTTGGAAATTTAAACTTACCCATGACTACGAAAATTACCTCACAAATGTAAGAAACATCAATCATAGAGTAGCAATCACAAAGCTAAGATTAAGCAACCACAAACTAGCAATTGAAACTGGACGATACGTTAAACCCTATCAACCACCAGACCAAAGAATCTGTCCATTATGTAAAACTGGATTAGAAGACGAGGAGCATTTTTTGATGAATTGCATAGCCTATAGGGATCCTAGGAGAGAGCTGTTCAATACGCTAAAAAAGGAAACTAATCTTATTCTTGACTCTATGACTCCAAGCTCTGCCTTTACAACGTTGATAAGTATGAAGCAAGGAGAGAAAACGCAAAAAATTGTGGCTAAATACGTATATGATCGCTTCCGCGAAAGAGATAGACGCGTTAAATATAACCTTGTTTAATAGTTGTATATTTATAAATTTTACAAATGTACACCTCCGTAATTGTTGCACGGGAATCTTTGTTATCGTTGTAATCACATGTGTCTGTAGGCGCTCTGTTGATAATAAAGCACTTATCCTATCCTATCCTATCCTATCCTATCCTATCCTATCCTATCCGATATCACGAAATGGCGATCTTTGTTGTTGTAACTAATTTAACGACGTCAACATGCAGCCAACGAAATAAAGACAAACGACCGACCTTTCTAAATTGCTACACTCTAAGACTTGACTAGTCTTCCATGAAGCCTATTTTGTCTCGTCAAGCATCGCGTTACGTGACGAGACAAAAACGGCTTCACCTGCAGTGCAGGATCTCATGAAAGGTTTTTCCCGGCCGCTTTTTTGTTTCGAAAGTTTTTCAAAGAAGGTTGGTTTTTTGGATGTTTTCTCAAGCGTCCTTTATAACTAGTATAAGATACTATTGAATTAAAAACACAAAACCACAAACTAATGGTTGTTTTTCTCCGAAGAACCTGGCTTCTATGAAGATGGTTCTTTTGGAATCCGCATTGAAAATGTGTTGCTTGTAAAACCTGTGGTGCTAGAGGTAATGACCGATGATTATTGACGTTTCTCTTTAGATATTTTTTATCATTTATTATTTATTTATTTATTTATATATTTATTTATTTCAAGTCACTCCTGTTTTCCTTTGAACAGAACAACTTTAAGAACAGAGGATATCTAGGCTTTGAACCTGTTACGCTGGTAAGCATGTTCATCAGTTTACTGTTTATGACGAAGCTCCGGCAGCTTCAACCTCTCACTCACAAAAACCGAAATTAATAGTAAGCATTCAATGACTGGCCCCAAGGGAAAAAGTCATTAAGTGTTTTGTTAACCTCCCAACTCAAAAATAAATAAGTTATAAATGCGACTGCGAGAAATATTTACTTGGCGCGACTAGCCTGCGTCACAGAAGTAATTTAACCTCGGTTAGTAACGTCTGCGAAGCAGCGCCAATATCCTGTTCTGGGCCCCCAACGAACTCAACGAATTACCGGAAGTGCGTTCAGAATTTCCCTTCAACATGATTGGCAAATCGACAATGGTTTTTTAACAGGCCAATCATGGCGCGTACTCAAATCCTGGTACACAGGAGGGGGCCGAGAACAAGGATTTTGGCACTCAGTGTTTCGCAGACAGACTTAACCAGAGTTTAGTTTCGTCTGTGGCGCAGGCTAGGCGCGAGTGGCACCTTCGAAAAACGTGATTTTTTTTTTCTTCGTCGGGGTACGAAACCGGGTAAGGAAGAACAAGAACGCTTGTTCGTCATTTTCTCAGGGGATTTAGTCGACTTAATGTAATAACACAACAGGTCCAGTGAAATACTTCGATGAAATATTTTATTGATTACATTTTGCCTTCTCCTAAATAATGATTAAACAACAATCGATCCATCACTTAACTTTAATTACACAGCTTCTGTTTTGTCAACGGGCCTTTTAAATGGTACAAGTTGACTGTGAGGGCTGAAAAAAACTGAAAGAGCCCTTTATCTTGAGCAGTTTGCGCAGTTTTCAGGTCTCTGCAATCAATAGAGACCTTGAGATCGAGGTTTGATCATTTTACTGCAAACGACAAACTGCGGTTTGTGGTTAACGGTTTCACGTTACCAGTCTGCCCATATTTGGGACTTAAAGATTCTCGGGTAGTAAGTCGCGGCTGCCATGTTTGTTTTCATTCATCCACTTACTTCTATTTTAGCTGAGAAATTGTCTTCAAAATTACCTTTTTTGAAATAGAATTCGATAATCAGTAAGCAAAAGAGTTATAAAAAGTCGTATTTCTTCTCAAACGTAAGATTGTGATGTGTTAGGGCCTGGATTGTGGTCTAGCCGTACAAACGTGAACCTAAAACCGCAAACCCGACGGAAGGCGCTGGTCACGTGTCTTGTTGACGTTTGCTGTTGGCGGGAAATACCGAAAAACCTCAATCTTAAGGTCTCTAGTTTCTAAGGAAATAGCAGCCTTCAAAAACTGCAAAATTGATGGGTGACAGAAAAGTTAATGAGCCATACATTCTTTGAAAAATTTCGATTTTTTTTCAAAGAGAATTTCTCTGAAAGTATCTGGTATATCATTGATCAAATTCAGTAATTACTAATATTACTTTGCTCTTTCAACATACAGAGATGTTATTTCATGAGAGTGTAATCAGAGAATAATAAGCATGTCTTGATGAGGCAAAAGATGTAATCAAAATATTCGACTCTATAAGGCGGAAAATTTTATTCTGAACGCCTTCATTATTAATCCATTCTGTCTTGCCACCGCGATTATTACCCTTATCACATTAGAAAACTATTTTCAAGAAAAAGAGCAAACGAATTTTTCTTGATTTATCTGTGCTTTTATGATGCGTTCACCGCGCGAAATGTAACAACGTCATCTCGCAGTACCTTCTTCTTTTTTCTCTCAGTTTATTAGCTGTTCTGATCTATCAGTAAATTACAAACGTTTTACTCAAATGGAAGTCCTTCTTTTATGCAATCTCCATTCCGACCGAACAACCGCATCAATAATTGCTCGTTTCCCGGAGACATTTGATAACAAGTGTCTTGGGATTACTGAGGATGAGCGTTAGCATTGCCTTTACCACAAAAAGTGTTCTTTAAAAAAACTCGAAAATCTTTCATCTGAGCTAGGTACATGAGAACATTTATCACGCTGGTCAAAAGGAACAGTACTCCACCAAGATAGCTTTTTATAAAATCTACCTCAAGTTCACTGAGTGAATGTTTAGCAAACTTCAAGTAGGTTGAAAAACAATTTAAAAATAAATAAGGAACAATGGAAGCAACAGCAAAGAAAATGAGAAGATATGTTCCTCTGATTTGAGACGATCTCATTTCCGCCCTAATGACGTTGTCTCGTTGTATGTTAATTCTTCTACTGTGCCTTTTCCATACTCTTCTGACTATGATGAGGTTTATACAAAGCAAAATTATGCTTGGTATAAAGAATTGTATCAATCCAAAACCTTGCTCGATTACTCTGTAAGTTAGATAACTGTTATCGATTTTACAAACCACTGTGTAATGTGTAGCATTAATATTGGATCTTACACCGCTCATTATTGCTGCGGGAGCCGATAAAGAAAGACAACCTATGATCCATGCACCATAAACTAATTTACGAACAGTGGTAACGCTGAATGATTTGGGAACATCACGGGTTGACGAGAATTTCTCTATGCTTACGACAATTAAATTATTCATTGTTATAGTGGGAAACAACATGCCAATGTATCGAACTATTCTACAAGGCCAGTCATTGTGAAATATATCAAACAATTGTACAGTTAACAACAAAGGCAAAACCAAACTGGAAAGTATATATGACAGTGTTAAACTCCTGATGTAAATATTAAAGTTTCTAACGAAACGAGTTGACTGTAATAATGGAAATGACTTTTTCTTTGAAACGAAGTAATGAATAAGACTATTTCCCACTAGTCCTACGAGACCAACAATCACAAACAGTGCAAATAGACCAATGTTTATGTAAAAACCTCTTGACAAGTTTGTGTAAACTTTGTCAGGCATGTCTGCAGTGCTGTTGGTAGTTTCAGTGGATAGCTTGTTGCTTGGCAGATTGAACAAGTTTGAACTTTCCATCTGTTAGAAAAAAAAGTAGAAAAATGGAGTATTGGGTATTGGTCAATGACAGTTTTGAAACCATTGTTAAGACCATAACAGTAACGTAACTGTTGTGGTCGCGTAGATGTGATGTTGCGCGTAAAGTTGGAATGAATTCTGTAACAACGCGTTTTCAAAAACTGCCTGCGATGTCGTTTGCGTAAATGATATTTCATTTGCAAACTAAAGGCACTTTTGTTATTGAATGACATACAAGGTTCGTAACCGTTATACATTCAGTTGCACTGAGCGGCAATCTCAACTTCCATGTCTGTTTGTTGTTGTTGTTGTTGTTGTTTGTTGTAGTTAAAAAATGTTCGACTTTCCAGTTCACAAAAAGATTGATTACTATCCTTGTGAGATGCCATTTTTGCAGTTTTGCCTTCCTATGAAATCTTATTTGTGTAAGCCACTGTTACGGAATTACACTAAGCTGAATAACGAAGCTAGAGGAAAGTAGCCTGTGTACAGACGCCCCCTTCCCTACAAAAAAAGGGGGAAGAGAGACTCTCTCCCCGATTATTATAATTATTACTCTTTTTTTTTTTTTAAGGGAGGGGAATGCACTGATGAAATGTACAAATGAAAAGTGGAAGTTGAAGAAAATACTTAGTTGTCGTTTTGAAGAATAGTCAAAAGATCGAGCGACAAATTTGCCCTGGAGAAATTTATCACTGTTTTCTTTGCGGCTAGGAGCTCAGAAGAAAAACCAAGTGAGCGACGTTTTTTGAGGATTTAAGAACTTAGAACTTAGAACTTAAAATAAATACTCCCCCCAAAAAAGATAGAGATTCCTCTGATGCTGGGAGGGTTCCCGTCAGCGGTTACAGCCTGTGCAGATGTGAAGGCACCTTAAGTGATCTAATGGCAGGCAAAGCAGACTGCCTAAAACAGCTTAATGTAGAAGATGACGTAACTCTCCATAAGGGAGAAGATTCCAGACTCTAATAACCCTTGGAAAAAAATGAATACTTGAAAACTGAAACATTTGCCAGTAATTGGCAATAGGTAAGTTGGTGAGATCGAGTAAAAATGATTTTGTCGGTAGATTTAACTGGACTAGGAATTTGACAATTTACTAAGTTATAATGAAATTTATAAGAAAGCACTGATTGGTTGAACAAACGCCTGTGTTCGAGAGTATCCCAGCCTAAGGACTTAACAAGGCTAGAAATACTTGTTGCATTGTTATTGTCGTTGCCATACAAAGCGAGCCGCATCCTTCTGAACTTGCTCAAGGCGCTTTATGTCAGTGTCAGTGTCAGTGTAAGGATTCTACGAAGAGGATGCATTTTCAAGCGTAGGTCTAACCAGTGTTATATGAGCTCTCTCTTTAACTTCTACGCTGCATGGTTTCAGTGATCTTCTAATAAGACCAAGGGACTTATTTGCCTGGGAGTAACTACACTGTAATAGTCGTGGGTCCTGGGTACAAAGTCGTGGGTCGTGAGTACCAGGTCGTGGGTCGTGGGTGCAAAGTCGTGGGGCGTGGGTGCAAAGTCGGTTGTCCCCCTAGTTCCGTGAGGTATTGAGGGACAATCCTTTCGAGTGAGTAATATTAAATAAATAAAATGTTGCCATGATTGAGGACAATACAACGCCCCCAGTTCTACACCAAAAGTCCAATTCTGAAACGAGTAACAACGATATTAACAACAATCAATGAAATTTATTACCCGAAAGTAACGGCTACTTCGAAAATTACCACTCAACTACACTTAAGAATCGAATTGAATCCAGTGATGTAACGTTTGAAGAAGTACTTTCGATCTACGTAAAAAGCGATTTTAAAGAGTGTTTAACGTAACATATAACAGGAACGAGAAAAATGTAATTTTCGAAGTAGACGTTACTTTCGGGTAATAAATTTCATTGTTGTTAATATCGTTGCTACTCGTTTCAGAGTTGGACTTTTGGTGTAGAACTGGGGGCGTTGTATTGTCCTCAATCATCGGACCTTTTTTTTAATTTAATATTACTCACTAGAAAGGATTGCCCCTCAAAACCTCACGGAACTAGGGGGACAACCGACTTTGCACCCACGACCCACGATTATTAGTTACTCCCTGTTTGCCTTTGCAGCTATCTTAGAGAAGTGAGCACCCCAGCGAAGCGTTTAGGTGCACGTAACTCCCAGATAGCTGCATTCAGGGACTTTTGTTTATGCCTCAGAATTTGCAGTATATGTGAAGTTGGAGGGTTTCCCTTTCTTTGTAGTACAAAGTAGATGGCACTTAGTTACGTTTAAGTGCATCTGCTAATCAGAAGCCCATCTAGTTAGGTTAAGTAGATCTTCCTGGAGCACTTTATGGTCATGTAGGGAATTAATGGTCCTGTAAAGTACGAAACTTTAATGTAAATTTTTTTTGTTTTTTTTAGGAAACGCGCTCAGATTCGGGACAGCTTTGTTGTGTAGCTTTCATCGTATCGATTAAAAATTTTAGTTGAGTTACGGACACATTACGCTGGAATTGAAATGCGAATTTCATTTGAGTACAGAAACATTTGGGTTTTCAAATAGATTTTTCAAAAAATGACTTCTCTGTTTGTTATTTTCTTTATGCATGTTCATTAATAACAGTAGTTATTTGTCGAGTGTTTGGATTGAATTTCGGGGGTATGGTTTGTCTCATTTAATCGCTACTTTGTCACTACCAGGAGTTGCTAGGCTTTTTCGACGAGGAATCGGGGATTTTACAAACGCTTTTGATTGGAAGAAACAATAGATAAGGAGGGAGAAATGGCGACCTACTTGAGGTGATGCTCTCGTAAACAAAACCTGACATCGTAAGCCAGTTTCGATTCGAATTGAACAAAACTGAACAGATACATGGATTTATGAACATGAAAGGCGCTATAACTGATCGGTTTCATGCTGACGTAGACTAATTAACAATTATTCCTCGAGCCCGAATGGGCTCTCAGTCAATAGCCCATTAGGCCGAAAGCCGAATGGTCTATTGACTCAAAGGCCATGAGGGTGAGAGGAATAATCCAACTAGTTGGTCAAAAATTAATATCGAGACAAAACAACTTTAGCTAGCAAAACGCGATTCAGCCGCCATTGTTTTGGTTTTTAAAGCCGGCGCTTTTCGCTACTAGTGGGCGATAACATATAGCCAAGTAGTAGTTCAACCAATCAGAACGCAGCATTGATAATAGACCACTAGTTGGATTTTACTAAAGACTGATATAATCTTTATCGTGGCGCTTCTCGACATGTTCTAGACCGATTGGATTTGTCAAGTATTTTTTCTGTTATTTAACTGCTTTGTCACTACAAGGAGTTGCAGTCCTGTTCCCTTATGGCTACGAAAGCTATTTAGCGGAATTATTTCTTTTGATTCGACCGGACGCATGCAAAAGTAAAAATTTAGTTGAAGTTTGCTGTCGTTGTTAGCACAATTGAAAAGAAACGATATGGAAATTTCAGATTTTTAGACAATTGAAATTGTTAAAATCGTGTTCGGAGTCAGTTTTTATTCAAAGGCGGAGCGATTGGCGAAGCTACTGTTTATTACGTCTTGCAAAAGGTCGATTATAAATATCAAATTAAAACTTACCTTTCTTGGAAACTTCCCAGTTCTGAAGTTAACATAAAAATGACAAAAAGAAAAGAAATTATTAGCTTCCCAGCTTTAAAATAACCGTCTCTCTCGCCCCTTTTTTGAGGGTTTATGTCCAGAATTTTGATGTGTTGTTATTTAATTTTTGTGCAAGCACGCAGCTATTTTTCCGTTTTTGTACCGTTTTTAAATAAAAGTAAATACTCTTTCCCTGTCAAGAAGTTTTAAGGGTAAGATGCCACACTCCAAACTCAGATATCTGTTGTGAGTATATGGTTCTTTAAGTTAAAAAAATAAGAATGAATCTCTTTCTTAGGCTCTACTTTGACTCGCTGACTGGCCAGTGTTTTGAAAGCTTGTTTAAAAGCGAGTTTTACTTACGTATAGCAAACAAGCGAAGTTACTCTTTTTGCGGTTTCGACAGATCGCTTTTGACTCTCCCCTCTAGGATAAGAGAAACCTTGAGGGAAAAAGGCGCAATAATATTATACGATTAATCATTCAAATGAAAATTAAGTTCGGAAAATAAACAACTTACCTTGTCTCAACGTATTTTTGGGTAATGATCACGCTGTTACCAACTCATAGTTTTTAACTCATAAGATTAATTTTTGTCTTCTAACCCCAAAATACTTAAGAACAACTAAAGAAATTAGATTTAAAGAAAAGATTTCTCCACAGTTTCCTGGCCAAGGCAGAAAGCGGAAAGGGACATTTGTTAGTTGGCGGAAGACTTAGCATTCAATTGTGGTGCTTCCTTCTGTAATTTTGTAGTTTTATGTTTATTTCCTGTTATTTCTTTTGCTCGTCTTTTTCGTAGTCGCTTATGCACCGGCTGCCCTACTCACGTAAAGAGAAGCGCCTTTAGTAGGTAACGTGGAGAGTGACCTTTGAGTTTGAAAGTGTTTAGGATTTTTTGCGTAACCGCTGTTACTCCCATCATAAGACGAAAGGAGTTACAGTGGTTACGCAGCAAAGCAACAAACCCTGGGAAAGAACCTCTGAATAACAAGAACGGATTCCGTGATTCCGTTTGGTCGTGAGAAAAGGGCTTTTTTGTTTAAATTGAGGCAAAATGAATAGTGTTAATAGCGGTTTACTGTACTGTACAAATCCGGAGATGTCTTTTTTGATTTCTTCTTTTCGGCCCTCAAGATGATAAGAACTTGAGAAATGTTAGTTTCCAGTTAGAAGCTAAGGCTAGACATTAGTAAAAATTGATTCCGGTATATCTGTTACTGTAAAGTTTAAAGACTGACAGTTAATAGCCTGTAAGCAAGCTCTTCATTTACACCGGCTTACACTTGCGATTTTATATGCGGTTTTTGTCATACGCGGCAAATCCAAGGCAATCTGATTGTTATCTTCATTGTCAACAAGCGGCGTGCGATTTTTCTCGCGATACATGTTGTCAGAGTTTCAATAAACTCGGTACTATGTTTAGTTCTCAAACTCACTAATAATTAATCAAGAAAATTCAAAGGAAATTAATGTTTAATGACTGTTTGGAAATCAGATGAAAAACTGCTCATTTTTTGCATCCGTAAATCCTCCTTCTAAAATCGTTTTGTTTGTGAAGGTATATCAAGCATTCGACACAGTGTTTCATCACCAGATAAAACACCTCGAAGTTCGTCAAAAATACTCCGCTGCGCGTCGTATTTTCAACTCTCTTCTCAGTGCTTGATATATTACATCAAGCTTCGAAAATGTTTTTAAAACACCTTTCCAACAATGCGGAAACAAATCGCCTTAAACTCCGGGGCTGCCAGTCTTCATCGTGTTCACGAGAGCGTAAAAATTGCGCTTAGAAAATCGAATTAGTAAAGCGAACCATGTCGTCACCCATCACGCCCTCTTTCCCGGCCTTTTATAGAAACCCCGCTTGCGCAGTAGGCGAGGAAAGCTGAGAGGAAGGGAGGGAGAAAATGACAGGAGATTTTGCGCCTAGCAAAAATAGTTGAAACCATGACATTTGAAGGCTTATGTTAGCGTGTTTCTTTTATGATACTTTTATCTTTTGCAGTTTCCCGTACAAACCAAGCTTCTTTTGCCCTCCATGTTGACAACTGAGGAGGTCTGCTCATTTACATTTTTATCTTTCTGCATGTTGTTCAATGTTTAGAACACCTAGCAGTCTGGCACTGCTACTCTTCCCAATAAAAAAAGTATTGCAAGTGATTTTACAGCTTTGGATGAGGGAGAGACTTAAAAGGACAGGGTGTTAAGATGTTTCAAAGGTTTCAACTCGGATTTCAAAGCCAAAGTGAATTTAGCTAGCGCAACTAACAACAGTCATCAGCAGTGTTTTCTCGCGTTTTGTTAGTTCATTAGTGCGTTGCTTGGCTTTGTGTGAGAGCGTTTTTCGGTTACACTTGGTCGTGGCCGTGTTGTGTTTGTGTCTTGATTTGGTGCGGTATAGTGTAGTGTAATGTAGTACATATCAGTACATTGCATTTATGTGTTCAAGTTCGTGCTGATAATTATTATTTACTTTCTAGTCTGTCGTGTTTGTGTAGTGGGTGTTGTATCATGGGCCTTAGTGTGTTTAGTATTCTTTGTTAGGTAGTATAAAGTTATACTAAGCCAACCTCGTTCCCACAGCTTTTTCCGTAGCCTACATGTAGCTGCATTCGCCCCCCCCCCCCCACCCCTCCCTTGACAAAGAAAACACGGAGAGGGGGAGGGTGTGGCCAACTTTTTCCTGTTTATTTCTTTCAGGTTGAATGGATTAACTGGTATCATGGCTTATGCGCTGAGAAAGTGGGTGCCGCCCTAAGAGAACAGGGCCGTACTAGCGCTCTCAACTGGCTGCTTAAGGAAACAGTGCCTATTGGCTGAATGGGGTCCCTGTGTCTTCAACTCGTAGATTATCAGCAATAATAATCAATCAGAAGCTTTGTGCGCATTTTTGTAAAAAGTGAAAGAATCTAAAGGAAAAGATACATTTCTTTTCAGAACAATCAGGACAACAATTGATCAGAAAAGAAAATTGCTGTAACCAGCCAAACCACATTAGAGAATCATCGCTCATAGAATCGCTTTCGAAGTTCAAGCAACCTGTTTGTTCTCGAGAAACGTTCGTTTTTTGTGCTGTAGAGACAAGATGTGATTCATTAGTTTTTATAATTTTACAATACTTAGATTTTACTATCGGTTATAACTTTACTCTGGGTTACCTTCTACAGGTGAAGTTCTTTCTTTTCATTAAACTAAAATTTTTTTAACAACCACCGCATTTACTTTCGTAACATACTTCTGACAAACTACTACTTAATTCAGGCAGTCATTAGGCAGACTAAGCAAAGACAACGTGACGGCAGTGGCTTGACCAATGGCAGAGCGGCGAATTGGGCACCGGAAGTCGAGTTCAGTCCTTTCAGTGCGCTTTCCCGTCCTCCACTGACGTTCTCGTTATTAATCACCGTGAGTAGACACATTCATACATGTGTCGCAGTGAATCAAAAACAGTCAAGCATTCTCGAGACGACACCAGAATTCCAAGCCGTTCCTCTGAACGGCCGACGGCCGCCACTTTTCTTGTTTTTGCAAAAAAGGCCCGTTTTAGCTAAGTGTTAACAGAAATTTCCAGGGCTGAAAGAGTCATATTTTTAAGTGAAATATTGAAAAGGAGCGATGTTAACCTCTTCTAGAAGAATTGACAAATGCCCGACCTCGGGGCAGAGGTTTTCTGACAAATTTCCGAGATGAGAAAAGCCCGACAAATGCCCGGGGGGGGGGGGAGATAAGTATGCTTGGAATTGCCTGAGCCATTATGCGTCTACAGTGTAACTTCGATATAACGAAGGGCCAAGTGACTGGCAAAATCTGGTCTGGTTGTGGGCCTTTTTCTATTAGGCTGATTTGGCAACAGAACGGGAGCGTCAGTTGACGACGGCGCGCGCAAATCAAACAACTGTCTTGACCAATGGCAGAGCGGCAAATTGAGCACCAAAAGTCGTGTTTAGTCCTTTCCGCGCGCTTTTTCGTCATCAAATGACGTTCGCGTCCTGTTGCTAAATCAGCCTATCATAATATGCCTTGACGCTAGCAAGTATTGTATTGCTAAGTGTCTTTACTCTGTTTACTCTTCTAGAGAAGATCTGTCCAAACATTTGTTCAAAATCACGCCTCAAGAGCACAAAAAAAATCCACTTCCGGTTGATGTGCGTCGTTCGAAAACGTCATTCCTTAAACTCCAAATTTCACTTTTCAGCGTCTTGAACATTGTGTATTTTTTTACTGACAGCCTTTTAGTAGAGAAGCGTAACGGTTGGCGATGAGCGATCTACGTGTGTGGTAGCAACGATTTTTTTTCCAAGGGTAGTCTAATTCCATGACGTTAGTTAAAAGAAATACTTTCTTCTTTATGGGTTTTAAAAGGAATCAGGGTCTTTAATCTTGAACAAGACAGTAGAGTGAAACGCGATTTTTGTCTTAAACAGAGTCAGGTGTTGAGGGCCTTAACGGAACTCTATACCCTAACTTCCCTGGAGAAGACGACCCCCCCCCACCCCACCCCCCCCCCACCCCGCACCCCCCCACCCCCCCCACCCTACCACCCCCACACACGTAAATATTCAACACACCACGGCACCACGTTTCACAATACAATCACTATCATTATATATCTTTGTTTTTCTTTGTCTTTTTTTGCTTTTCATGTTTCAAATTTTTATAATNTTATTCTAAACCATAAGAAAAGATTTAATTAGAAGTTGAATATTTCGCTATTTCTCTTGCACTTTTTACATTCAGTTCATTTTATTTGCCGGAAATTAAAAGGACGTTTGATCGATTCACGCTTGCGCATTCTAGTTGTATTTTAAACTTTATAACGGAAGGACATCTGTGAGCAGGGAATAAGTCAGCACAGAATTTGATTGTCGGCGAATTTCTGTAATCGTCCATCGTTCTGCTAGTGATAAGCTAGCCGTTGTTCACTCGTCTTCTTGTTTGAGTCTTATTCCGGTCAAAGAGAGAGAAAGAGTGTCTGGCAAGGTTTCCAATATAAATTAAAGATTTGTGAGCTCGTGTCTGGCAAACTCTCCGAGTATTTATATATACACAGTTAAACGCACCTTATAACCTCATATGCGCTTAACGAGTGTCTTTTGGTCCATAACTTTCAAAGTAGCTGCTCCACAGAAGCACTGCGTAACACAAAAGAGTATCAAAGTATGATTGCACAATAATACTTGCGGGCGCAAACAATAGAAACGTCATCATTACCTACCAATTCCTCGCGGCCCCTGTTCAAGCAAATCGAGATTTTTTGTATATTGACTGTATATTTCAACTGTAAGTACTTTCCTTAATATACTCGCGAGTTACTAGAATGGTTTCCAGAGGCTTTTCATGCGCGGTTTCCGGTTTCGGTCAAGTCTTAAAACGGTGTGCTCCCCGTCGCACGCGAGAAAGAACCTCTGGTACCCAGGGTACTAGAGTGCCTCCTCAGGCAACAATTTATTGGCTGTTCTTAGCGCCAATTAGCAAATTACAAGCAGTTTTCTTCAAATATGCATCTCAATTCGGATTCAATAACACAACCGCGACAATAATTGCCCGCCGTTTCCGTAGACAATTAGTAGAGCTTGGTGAAGGAAGGCGGGAGGTCCAGATCACGTTTAACACGAAATAAGATTCTCATTTCACGAAAATAACAGCCACAACGAGAATCACGGTACCCGGCTAATTAAACGATATTTACTTCTCGTTTTTAGAAAAATAATTTTGCAAAACCAAGCTTCACGGCCAGTATGGATATCGATTCAAAAGGAAAAAAAGACCAGTTTTTCATTTTACGAGAAAAATGGGTCGGTCACAAGTCACGAAAATACACTTTAGTAACGCTCTTGAACGGGTGAATAACTAACATAACATAACGTACATAATTTATTCAAGATGCATTAAAACGGATACAAGGTTTAAAAGTGAAAAAACGCCATTTTAAAAGGGAAGTTACAAGGTTGTTCCTATCTACAATCGGCGACAAAACTGTTGAGACATTGTTCTTAAATAGAGTAATTTCGCACCCCTCCCCTGTCCCCTCCATTCAAAGTTGGGGTGTTTGTTGTTTTCTATAGGCAGCTAGAATAAGGACACAACACGGAGGGGATTGGGGAGGAAAGCTATATTTCCTCTTTTTGAAGTTAATAGAACGTAAAAAAGCCCAGCTTTGGGCGAAGTGTCTCAACTCATTTTGTCGCCGATTGTAGCTACAAGTAAAGACCAGTAAGTCAATAAGAAAATTACAAATTATAATTAAATAACAGCAATAGGTGCAGTTACACTAGACGTTTTCCCCAAAGGGTCCCAAATCTCTAATTGGTGTCAAAGGCGGGGTGGGTGGGGTACGTATCACGCATCACGAAAATGAGGTGCGATTGCAGTAAGTTAACTCAACCCTTTGAGTGAATCAGCTTCAATAAATTGTTTTCAGCGTCCTTTCTGGGTAGGATCGAGCGTTAACAGCTGATTGAATGACTTTAATTGTACAAAAGTTGCTTCTGTGAAATCCGATGTTGTTCAAAACCATATTACCCAGTATTCACTGATCTGAGAATGGAGGTCATAATGCGATTGAGAGGTTGAGGAACAAGAAAAAGGACCAGAAAATGATGTCATGACTATCTGTTTTTAATGTCTGTGCTTCTGGTTTCGAATGATATTGACCAATCACGGAAACCCAAAAGGAAAATCACACGGCGTCACGTGTTGTGAATATAGTAAATCACGCACCAGTCCCTGCTATGCCCAATCAGTAGATTCACGTCTGTTTTATCCATAAGAATTGCTTTGAGCTGTTTTTATCTGCTCATTTTCTATTTTGGGACATTTCCAACTTGAATGTGACGTTTGCAGTAAACGTCAATCTAAATCTGTCTAATGAAGGATGACATAATATTTTAATTTTGAGAGTAGAAACGAAGACGTCGACGCTTAAAGAAGGGCAAATTCTCGCTTAAAAGTCAAAAGACCCCAAACGTACGGCTTCACAAAAATGGTTGCAACGACTTCACATAAGGAAGCTGAACACTAATGTAAAGAAAACTTGGGAGTCTTTCAAGATGTTTTTTGAATATTAATGCACTGCTGAATTTCACGAGGTCAACTTTTGCATAAATTATCAAACATTATGTTAAGCGGGAAATCTACCTATGGTTCGCGGGAGAAGCAACTTCTATAGCGGCGCAAGACAAATGTTTCGAGAGTCGAGGATGTGCTCACAAACTATTCATTATGCGACGAAAGGAGAAATCACTGGTATGATAGCTGCATGTAATGGTAATTTTATCAATCCGGGTCGCGCCGTGTTCGCTCGAGAACGCTGTGACAACCTCGTTTGGCGCGCTTCTCAATACTTCCAAAACATGTTGTAATCGGTAAACAGACTTAAGCACTTAGTATCGCCAAGCCATTCGAATCAGTGTATACCTAATTCTTTGTCTGAAGATTCTCGCAAACACACATACCAAGTAAATCTGGATGGAACAGGAAATTGTCTCCCTAAACGCAGCCAGATTATATTTTGAAGGATGGCGGCACAATTCAACGTGTCTTCCAGGTAAGCCCTAATTTATAGTTCGTAAGAGTATAAATTGCGATCTCCCTTTTTTAGCTTTCTTTGATTAAACTTCAGTAGAAACAAAACAACGCAGACATGACATTCTCTTGCATGAGACACAATCGGCTGAAGGAAATATCTGTTTACAAGTCGGGTAAATTATCCATTCTTGCGCACCGCAAAATCAGCTAAAATCAGTCGCTGGAAACCTGGCATATTATTAAGCCTGAGCGCTTCTAAGAATAACACGTTTAGAACTTTGACGCGTAGAAAAAAAAAAGGTAGTTGTTCTATATCCTTTCTGGTTCATCCAGGTAGAAGTCCTGGCATGATATCATTATCCCTGAGCGCTTCTATGATATATAACACGTTTAGCATTTCAACCCGTAGCCGTAAAAAAAAAAAAAAAAAAATAGGCAGTTGTTCTATATTCTTTCTGGTTCATCCAGGTAGAAGTCCTGGCATATTATTATGCCTGAGCGCTTCTAGGATAAATAACACGTTTAGCATTTCAACCCGTAGTCGTAAAAACAATTAGGTGGTTGTTCTATATCCTTTCTGGTTCATCCAGGTAGAAGTCCTGGCATGATATAATTATGCCTGAGCGCTTCTAGGATATATAACACGTTTAGCATTTCGACCCGTAGCCGTAAACAAAAAAAATAGGCAAATGTTCTATATCCTTTCTGGTTCATCCAGGTAGAAGTCCTGGCATATTATTATGCCTGAGCGCTTCTAGGATATATAACACGTTTAGCATTTCGACCCGTAGCCGTAAAAAGAAAAAAAAATAGGTAGTTGTTCTATATCCTTTCTGGTTCATCCAGGTTGAAATCCCGGCATATTATTATGCCTGAGTAGCAGTTTGACCCGTAGAAACAACAAACTCAGCCGTTCATTTTGTAGGGGATATTTAAGCGTTTTTGTCTGTGTTAGCAATGTGATCGACTTAATACGCAGACTTTAATAATATGTTTTTTTCTTTGACGGCACTGAATAATTTTAGCCGAAAACCTGAGCCGTACATTTGCTGAATGCCGTGCTTTTAATTAATTTCTCGCCCTAGAATGATGACATGATGGCGCGAAAATTGACGCCTCTATCGTATTAGATGCGAAATATGATCAGAGATAAATGGAATAGTGAATGTTACAAGTAGCCTGAGTATCAGGCGTTTCTGGGGAAAAGGGGAAAGATGGAAGCGAAAAAGGGAGAGAGGTGAAGGAGAGAAACTTTCTCTCTCTTGGGGAGGAAAGCTATATTTCCTCTTTTTGAAGTTAATAGAACGTAAAAAAGCCCAGCTTTGGGCGAAGTGTCTCAACTCTCTCCTTTCTCTTCTCCCCCTTCCCCTCCCCCATCTAAAATCTCCTCTCCCCTAGCCCCTTAGGAAGGCCTGATACTCAGGCTATGTTACAAGCTTCTGGGTATCCAGCTGAGATAGGGGACATCTCTTCTAGATAAACAAAATTTTTTTGGTTGCTAAGACGGTGCGGCTCGTTATCAGGCCTGGCTCGTTATGATATCATGGCCTATTTAAAAAAACTTATTCCACGAGCACACGTTGGATATAAGATGGTTGATAGCCAACTCAGCGCGCTAGAACTACTGATCTCAAATCCAACAAGCGCGAGTGAAACAACTGTTTTATCAAAAACACCTAAAGAAATCCCTCAAAATCGGCCGCAATCATTGCGTAAAAGACGCGTAATCTAACACATTTGTGGTAAATTGTATGTGAGCTTATATACCACTTCCTCTAAACAATCAAATACCAGGAATTGCAATATACCATAGTTTTTAGAAACTACTTTTATATAATTTTAAAATCCTTTGATATAGATTCTAGTATCAGTCGTTCATCACTCTGTGAAAGAGACTTTGCACCATTTCTGGTGTCTTAGCAAAAACGGACAAGAAAGACTCGCATCCCTTGTCCACATCAGCGGCAGATAGTACAATTACTATCCCATTTCCATTTTGGTTGATGCCATTTGCCTTCTCGACTAACTTCTTAGCTGTGGTGCTGTGCTTGTTGAAGAAAAATATTTTCGAATGCTTCAAGCCAAAATCTAAAGCCAAGTAGCGAGCCAGTAGTACATGCGTGGTATCGCCACCAATTCTCGGGTTTACATCCACCAGGTAATTTCCGTGATCTGTGATTAGAACCTCGAAATTGACCAAACCGAAGTAGCCTCGCTCTTGAAGATATTCTTTAATTGGTATAGTGAACTCTTCGTATAAAAGATGTTCATACTCTTCTTGCTTGTCCCAGTCAACTGTTCCAGAGGTAAAGGAGTATCCATTAAATCCTGCGATGTCTGCGCCGATCCAGAAGATTTCCCCTGATTTGTGCAGGTGAAAATTACAGCTGGGCACTTCTTTAATCCCAGGGATGATTTCTTGGAACACAGCCTTTCCTTTCCAACCGCACACATCTCTGACTTGTCGCAAAATGGCAGACAACTCGCCCTCGTTCTTAACAAGTCTGTTTCCCATGCCACCTGCGCTCATGTCGACTTTAACCATGCAAGGATAAGAAACGACATCTTCGTCCATGTGCCTCGGCATTGGCGCTTTGATGTCAAGTATCGAGCTCTTGAGTTGTACCTCATATATGATATCTGGATCTACGCTGTGCTTGTGTTTCGGGATGCCTTGGAATGCCCCTGTAGTCACGACTGGAACATCATCTTGCAGTCCTTCGTCCAGTGGCTTGATAACTACCGGAGGAAAAGCAGGAAGCCATTGTTTCCAGTGCTGTTGCAAGTACGATTCTGGTGTGCACTCCATGATAACTGGAATTTCATTCCCGACTGCGGGAAGTTGACGGAATGGTGACATAATCCGACGAAAACTCAATGAATACGGTGGGTAGTCAAATACGCGGTATTTCTTATCGTTGAGGAATCTGTATCCTTTGCCATACGAAGACGGTTTCTGTGGAAGAAAATAGGCTTCCTTCAGGTCTTTTTCAATGAGACTCCCAATGGTGATAGCGTTCTTGGAAGACATCAGGAACTTTTGACTAACTGCTGTTATGCAAAACACAATACCACGTCAACAATTACAATACCAAGGCTTCAACGGCGACAGGAGAAAAAGATATAACAATTTTGTTCGTACGATGTTCAATATATCTTCAGTTGATAGAGACACTTTCAGTCGGCTCAGCAAGTCCAGTCAAACAGTCGCTTAAAATTAAGTGTCCAAGTATTCCGTGGGACCAGCAAATGGAATATTGGCTTATTGCACACAATGATTCGTCTGTCGCATAAATTTTCGTTTAATGAGTTTGAATAAGAACTTCACAAAACTGAACCCAGCGGGTGGTGTCACGGATTACCAATCAACCAATAAATGTTAGGACTGTTAGCTATGATGGCCGTGCGTCCTTTTAACAAAATGTGGCCTGAAAAAAAGAGAAATATACTTCAGTTCCAAATTACCGCCACAACAAAATCTATCAAAGGAAGGACACATAAATTAGTTCTTAAACCATAATGAAAGTCTCATTCATCCTTAGAGTCAAGCCAGGTCAAGCGTACCCCCCAAAATTCCATTAATGAATTTATTATTCGAAAGTTGAGTCCGTTGGCAGTTGTAGATTTCAGATTCATCTCTACATTCTTGCGTGTGTAATGAGCCGTGAATTCACACGCGATTCAGTTACGAAATTTCTACCAGCTCAGTTTCCCTGAATTTGATGTAAATGTCTTCTAAGAATTTTAATTCATTAAAAAGATTATCAATCTGACCAAATACAGACAAGTTCTCCTAAATTATTCACTGCTCATTACGCATGCAGTAATTCCGATTTGAATTTGACACCAGTTACGGGAACGACTAACGGATTCATTTTTCAAATAATCAATTCATTAATAGAATCTTGAGGGGTACGCTTGACCTGTTTTGACTGTAATTTTGTCTCAACTCTTCTCTTGCAAACGATTGTTGGTTGACTATATTAATTATTCAAGGTTTCCTTTGATTGTCTGCTTGATTCAAGGTAATTTTTAAAATACTTTAAGATAACCATTCAAAGACGACCACTTTCATTGTGACATAGTAAGTGGAGGCAGACATTAACAATGACTGTGACTAAGGGAAAGTTCATTTAATATGACAAGGGGGGGGATGAAGATATTGAGGGGGGGCTCCGAAAATTTTTAGACACCCGAAGGGGCGGCTCTGAAAAAATTGTTGCTCTAGGAAGGGGGGCATCGAAAATTTGTATACTTCAAAACCAACACATGACATCATCATACAGATCGGATGGTTTTCAACTCAACAATTTAATGACCTGTGCGACTCAGCTATATCACGTGGTTTACAGATATAACAAATGTAGTCTCAGTAATTATTACACTCTTGTTCATCCCAAAAATACTTTAGAAAATTGTATCACAACTGTATCTCAAGTTTGTCATAGTATAAACCATTGAAGACAATAACGGTAAATATATTTAATACAGTCTAGCGATCTTTTTTCAGGGGAGCAAAGGAATTGAAGGAGGAGNGTGACTAAGGGAAAGTTCATTTAATATGACAAGGGGGGGGATGAAGATATTGAGGGGGGGCTCCGAAAATTTTTAGACACCCGAAGGGGCGGCTCTGAAAAAATTGTTGCTCTAGGAAGGGGGGCATCGAAAATTTGTATACTTCAAAACCAACACATGACATCATCATACAGATCGGATGGTTTTCAACTCAACAATTTAATGACCTGTGCGACTCAGCTATATCACGTGGTTTACAGATATAACAAATGTAGTCTCAGTAATTATTACACTCTTGTTCATCCCAAAAATACTTTAGAAAATTGTATCACAACTGTATCTCAAGTTTGTCATAATATAAACCATTGAAGACAATAACGGTAAATATATTTAATACAGTCTAGCGATCTTTTTTCAGGGGAGCAAAGGAATTGAAGGAGGAGGGGGGGCGGGGGCTCTGAAATTTTTTCGACTACCAAGGAGGGGGCTCCTAAAAAATTGAACCGCTAGCGAGGGGGGCTGCTAAAATTTCAAGTTTCGAGTTTCAATATCTTCATCGCACCCCCTTGTCATATTAAATGAACTTTCCCTAAGCCCCTTGTAATGAAGATATGCAAATCAAAAGAAATTCATTACAATTTATTTATCCATAGCTGCTTGCAAACAATATAGCGGTTTGCTCGAAGAAGACAATGTTCCAACGCTCATCGCTTTCCTCGCTTCTATCGATAATTATTAAAGACAAATTGAAGTCCTCGTCTTCTCTTTCTATTTACTTTTTGTTTCTATCTTTTTGGTAGCTGATATTAGAAACCAAGTTTAAATTCAAAAATTGATCCGCACACGTGTAAGATGTGAATAAAACCACCCTTGCTTGATAGAAGCTATGCCTAATATGGCGATATACATCATTAAACACGCATTTCTGGGATACTAATAAAACCTTGGTTGCATTCTGCCCTGCTTGGCCCCTAAAACAGATGAAGTGGCGAAGTATTTGACATGTTTGAACCAAAACGCCGGCTTAGGTATAGCATAGGAGTTGAACCTTTGCGAGTCCTTTCATTTCGCTTAGCCATCTGCAGCCCGTAGAAATTAGCAAAATAAATCACTATAACTATGCGTTTTACCTGAATGTGTTTTGCTTTATAGACACTATGTGCGTTTGGTTTTTTTGATGAAGTAAGGAGGGTCCGTTACCTTACAGTTTTCCCAGAAGGCATCCAAAATACAGCGAAAGATTTTCAATCCTTAACTAGTGCAAGCAGATGTAAATGGATGGGTATTGTCTTAAAGAAAAAGATGATTGTAAGCCAAGCCATTTGCTTAATTATGCTACCTACTTGTATATGAATTTGCAAATGACTGCAATGACGACGGAAACTAGACACGTCTTAACAACTGTCACCTTTTAAAACGTTGATTTAAAGATAATCGAATACTCTAAGTAATTTGGAAGTGGAAAGGATTAAGGTTTTTTCAATGAAAAAAGTTATTTAGTCCACGAACGCCGTGTTTCGGTTCGCGTGTCCGCTTGACCAGCTGTGGGGAAACAAGCGACCCTGGAAAAATCCACATAGCGGTCAAACGTGGGGCGCGTGCGCAGTTCCCGCCAAAACGTTCGATTAATGCACCTATCAATGTAAACCCCGTGGGGGGGGGGGGGGGGGGGGGGGGGGGGGGGGGGGGGG